ACCTAACCGAATTGCATCTTAGTCCTGAGCTAACAATGCCATTTTGAATATAGTGGTTTTAGTGATCTCTGAATGCAATGTGGGGTATACAAATTATAGCTCTAAAATTATTTATCAAATTCTCCCAATCTTAACTCTATAATCATAGGAGGTTTTTTATAAAATTCACCTATTAAGATAAAAGACAGTTTGTTAAGAGTTCAGGATTCAGCCATTGTTTTACTCAATGAATATTGGTACTTTCTGAAAAGAATTAACCCCATCACAAACTCAAATCTAATCGTACTACATAATACGTTTACTTAACAAATCTCTATTCACAGTTACGCTCCATAGGAGCTGTTATTGTCTAGTCTCTAGTCACTGTCACCCGTTAAACCGTGACGCCGATTTCGCCGTTTCTACTGCTTTGTGTTCCTTTAGTCACGGCGATGCAACCGTGCTTTATCTGTGCAATGTCTCTTCCGAAGTACATTCGTGGTTTGTCTGTTGTCCCCGAGTATAGATAGAGTCGTGCTGGATATTGTCAAGATAAGTAGGCATACAGTAGGTCTAAAGTAACGATAGAACATGAATCTGGCAAACATGACCTAGGATTCATGACTGCAGCCTGATAGAACGAACAAAAGGATAAAGAAAGAAAGAAATAAAACCCTGCAAAACATGACCTTTCCTTTGCAATTTATACGTCTGGCAGTCTTAATAAAGTTGCGGTAATTTGTTTTTCCCTTGTTATCGTTTTTCTATTTGGATATAAGATTTTTGGGAAGGAAACGAATCCGATTTCATTGATATTTATGACATTTAAAGTAGTAAAATAGTTAAACATGGAGTAATACAAGGATCAGTACTAGTGTCGTTATTGTTTGTAACTGCAATATATTTTCCAGAGTTAGTCATTAGAGTATTTTTTGTACGCAGAACAAACGATTTTAATAAAAGTTAGTAGGATAATGAGAAGAATTTCATTATAATACCGGAAATAAAAGGCATTGTGGTAGAAAGTGGTGTAAGCTAACTGTTAAAAAGTAAAATATGTAAATCCAAAGAATTAATGACGTACTTTCATTTTCATTAGACAAATAACGCGTCATAAGAAACTCTAAAACCACTTGACTTTCATAATGATAGTAATATTGGAAAACATTAACTTGTGAAACATCCCCATATTAAAATCGAAGGAATCACTTAGTAAATCATTTACTAACTATACTATAAATATGTATAAATTTGGTCACAACATGCTCGACCAAGTTCATTTTCAATTTTTGACGCAGGCAAGGAAACAATAAAAAATCTCAAAATTTGCACAAGGTTAAAATACGATTTAAGATTAGTGAAACAATCGTTATTTTTCCTTTGTTAATTTACATGAGATTTTTTTAATTTCATTAATTTTAAACCTCGATCTCTATGTTTGAAAAGTGACAGCAGTTGGTTGTTGTTGACTAATGATATCATCAATGATAATTTGACCCAACTCTTCGATATAAATATTGTCCTATATTACTCATTGTATATAAATAAATATCTATTGTTACACAATCCAGTTTCCATTTACTCACTCTCTGACGCACTGTCTCACTCATCGCGGTATCTTGCAAAACGTTTGATCGTGATCTTGGGTTGGAGGAGCCACTTCAGCACTTTGAGTTTTATAAGACAGTATTTTTATAAAGGTTGATGAATCCAAAGACTTGGAATTTTAAATGTCAATTTCACATATTATTTAAAACGAAATCATAAATTTTGTGTATGGAGGCACCCTTGCATAAAAAAATGAGTTTCAATAAATTAGTAGTACATTTATAAAAACCCTCTCATAGAAATGTTGTGTTTTAAAAACCTACAAGGATCAAGTTGGATTTTTAAATAGGTCTTTACTTTGGTCTGTTTGATCGGTTTTTCAGGGGCAATTTTCAGGGGGTTAATGTAAAAATCCCCTCCAATTTGTCTAGCAGAGTAAATTTGAAAAATGTAGACAGACTTGAATGAATATCCTAAACAACCCAGTAACATTCTAACAGAAAATAATTACGAGAAAATACTAATCTTAAGAAAAGCTTTTGAGGGTTTCGTAGCTCTGTGAGAATGAGAAATATTTATCAGCAAGAGCTTATGCTTAACTACTGTAGTAGAAGTAGTTTAAATTATTGTCGGGACCACGTAAGTTTGCAGTTGGTGGCAGCCAATTACAAGACAAGGCTAGCGCGACGTTGCCACATCACCCATTGACAACACTAATTAAAATATAAAAGCAATATTTTCAAATCAGCTGGTATTATTAGATTTGGCAACACCGCACCGTTCTCATTGGTTCATTCAAAACCATATGGTAAATAGGCTCCTCCCTCAACTGCAAACTTATGTGGTCCTGACAATAATGAAGTAAATACAGTGTTAGCAACTTAAGCAAGATGATTTAGCTATTCTGTAAGAATGATTCACAAATGCAGAACCGAAACTATTTGAGTCACAATTACGTCTATAGGCCTAATGGAAAGTGTCGAAGGTCATAATCAATGTAAACAAGTCTGAGATAATGTAGCTGTGGTACAAAATTATACAATGCAGTTGCGTACATCTTCCCTAGACAAATTAAATAAAAATTAAAAGTGTTGTCTTTAGAATAGTACGAGTATCAATCTATTTAATAGCATTAATTAATTTATTTATTATTTAATAGCATGGTACACAAGTACGGTGTGGCCGGCCTAGTTTGAGGATGAAGTTCCATGTTTCATTGGTTACATTCATACTGATCCAAGTTATATCGGATTCTGATCCTATATAGCCTCTTAGGCGAGGATATAGTTTTATCCGCATCGGGGAATTCCCTCCCTCCAGTCAAAATTAATCTAAGTTGTAGTCGTATCAGAAAAGTCAACAATCAAGATGCAGATGAGTTCTCAGATTGTCTTAATCAGGTAAATGATACTCGTCCTTGTTCTTCTTCTTAATTTGTTACTGAATGATTCATTTGAGGGTAAATCGCAAGTCACCCATTCCCCATTGTCCCACACTACCTTCTCTACCGGATCTGAAATTTAAATTTGACACGTTCCTCTTGGTTCTACGAGGGCATTGCACGCTCGTTGTTTTGCCCCGTTAGATAGAGATTTGTGTTACTTTTGTGTACCCCTATGCACGCGATTCGTCAAAACGATACGGGTTAAGAAGCACAGAAAGAGGTAAGGTCAAGAAAATGCTTAAAAAAGGTAATGCTTTGAATCTGTAACAAAAACTTTATAAACAAGTTTTATTTAATCCAACAAACTGGACTATTATTTAGAATTCAACACAAAAAAAAAAACGTTGCAATTGAGAACGTAGTAAGTCAAGTGTTTTATATCGATTGTTGAATAACGTTTGTTTGTTTAAACGTGCTACTTTAAACTAATAGAATATGATTATGTAAATGATTGTTTAGGAGATTCGTATGGTTTTGTTTCTAGTAGTCATCGTGTTTACAAACGGGCTTATCCCAACTCAATGCGGTGGTCACAAATCTGTCAAAACCGACTGTCCAACCCTTATATACTGTATATAGAATATTTTATACTTAACACTACAAATCTCATCCGAGAGCACAACAAGTACAAGATAAAGATTGATGGGTAGCGTAGAGATTAGATGTGGCTCCGGGCGGAGTTGGACAATAATGTATCTAGTTTGTTATTTGGAAAAATGTGGGACCAGTTGTTTGAAAGCTTATACTTAGTAGAAAGATTCGTTGTAGTTATACGTCAGTTTGTCTCAAATACCTTGCCATCCTCAACCCAGCCTCCGGTTGTTGTCCAGGACCGTTGTATCGACCTTGAGAATCTTTCCTTACTGGAGGCTTCATCCTTACTTGACCTTGGTGGCTGGACACAATGTAACCTCGAGACATTTCTATTTACAAACAAACCAACTGGTAAACAGTTAATTGTAAAGAGCTTAAGAGTAGATAGTATAATGTGAAGCCAAGTGGTTAAAATTACCGAACCACTTGCAAGTGAAGTAGCTCACTTACAAAACCTAATATTAACAGTTTGATCTGAGAAGGACTGATGATGAGAATATGCAATAATCTTACAGGCTGACTCACCTACATAGTACTGTGGCATAATTATTTTTGTATTTGCATAAGATAGGTGGTGAATAATCTTAGCGTACAGAAATGTACTATGGTAAAGCATTAAACGAAGTTAAATTGTATGATTCTTGGAGAACCCTTTTTGTATCTTGTTTAAAACATGACTAATTTTAAAAGTTAAACGGAAGGTAATCGGTTGATGAATTTAAAATTACAACTAATTCAGATTTAAAACTGTTATACGTGAGTTGGTCAGCAGCTTTGGTCTTTGAAAGCGTCCTCTAGAAATGAGTCAAAGGCTAGAGGGGCGAAGCCCTAAACAGAACTGCCTTCTTAACTGCCATTCGCCCTTCCACAGGATCCGCTGTGAAATTATTATACCTCAATCGTGAAAATCTGTTTAGTTTTACTGGCGAAACAAAGGTTATAGAATAAATCCTTATTGCATTAAGCATATAAGTGCATTTACAACAACGTTAACAGTCATATACGACGTTATGAAAAAAAAAAAAAAAAAAACTGTTTAAGGTGCTTATGAAACATTAAAAATAGTATTTAAACGTACATAAGCTGTCTAACATAATTTTTGTCGGATTGGTGAGTGTTTAAGAGTATAAGTAAAAAAAACAAGGTAATTGTTTCTTTACCACCGTACGAAATATTGGGTTTTTATTATTTTAACCTACTCCGGTTTCTGGCTTTTGAATGCTTTTCATCAAAGTTTCATTATTTTCCGTCTTTTCTTATTCTTATAAATAATTATATCAAACTTTGTATTATGTTAACTTGAGCTATTGTAAGCTTGTGGAACATATAGCTGGTCTTTAGTTCTTATCTAATGGCGTTTTAAAAGGTTAGCGATATTAATGAGCTGTTATTGTTTTCATCAAGGCCTAGAGCTGATGAATGTGTTTTGTTCCAGATTACAACTTAACAGAATTGCAAGCAGACATAGATGGCATCGTCAGACCAAGCCCAGATCCCTCCAACATCAAGAACGAATTTAGAAAAGTTGCCGAGAAAGAACTGCACGAAACACCGGAAGCTCTTGCAGAAAATATTAGGAAACTTAGAATATTAGTGGAAGGTTGGTTTGTACTTTTGTTAAATAATAGATGCATTGATAGGTACTATACTATGATATAAAACTTTATGATATACAGGGTGTAAATTATGTATTGAAACAAATCTGTATTTTTAAAACCGAAATAGATAGAAATATTCTGTTCGTGGCAATAATTGTTAACAAAGGTTCCGCAATTTTTTTCATCAAAAATATTTTTTACCCCCCTAACAGGGTAGGGTGTAATGGGTGACTTAATTTTTTCAAATAGCAACCCCTATTGAGTGACCCCTCATTTTGATGGGTTTGTCAAAAGAAATACAATGATGCAAATCCGAGTTGAATATCTCACCCCTAGCCAAAATGGTGGATATTCCAAAATGGGTGCTTTTTTACAAATATTAAATTTTGGAATACCCACCATTTAGGCTAGGGGTGAGATATCTACCTCGGGTTTGCGTCATTGTTTTTCTTTTAACAAACACTTCAAAATGAGGGGTCACTCAATAGGGGTTGACATTTGAAAAAAATAAGTCACCCCCTTCCCCCTACCCAGTTAGGGGGGTTGAAAAATATTTTTGATGTAAAAACTGCGGAACCTTTGTTAACAATTCTTGCCACAAACAGAATATTTCTATCTATCTCGGTTTTTAAAATACAGATTTCTTTCCATTATTTGTGAAATTGGTGCTTTTTCCTATACAGTAAATCAAATTTTGGAATACCTACCATTTTGGCTAGGGGTGAGATATTCACCTCGGATTTGCGTCATTGTGTTTCTTTTGACAAACCCTTCAAAATGAGAGGTCACTCAATAGGGGTTGCTATTTGAAAAAAAAGATTCAACCCTTACCCCCTACCATGTTAGGGGGGTAAAAAATATTTTAGATGTAAAAATTGCGGAACCTTTGTTAAGAATTATTGTCACAAACAGAATATTTCTATCTATTTCGGTTTTAAAAATACAGATTTGTTTCAATACTTAATTTACACACTGTATAGGCCTACAATGTTTTATTAAGAAAGTTTTATAAGCAGAAACATTATGATTAAAATATAACGTAAAAACCTATGCACGATGGAAAATGAAACAAACAGAGATAAACATATTCTTTAATCTGTTTAGGAGAATAATTGATTGTAAAATCTGATAATTATTGGTCTTTCAGTTTAAAGTTTTTTGTGGGTGTCAAAGTCAAAACTTAAGTCTCATACTTAACATAACAAACTGTTACCACTAAAAAAGTTGTATTCAAGGAAACTAATTACTTAATTAACTATAGAGCTCGCCCCGTGGTCGAGAACTTGACCAAAAAGTATGTATTGTGCAAACTTCTCTATTTTCACACTACGTTGTAAATAAAACATGTGATTGGAATTTATTCTATTTGTTTTAATTTTCTGATTATATTTTGTTGTTGTTTCGTCACCAGCATGGCAACCCATAAGGCCCATGTAATTTTTTTTAATTTTAAATTAATTTGTTGTCTTTGTTTTTGAACTTGTTTTAATTCATAAAGGGATTCTGCACATCTACTGGAAAATATATTTCTATTGGTATACCCCGCGTGTAATTCGGTCCAGTAGTATGGTCAGGCTAGCTGTCACAAGTTTAGCAAAAGTTTTAGTGAATTTCCCTATAGGGAAGAAGCTATTACTATAGGTCTCATGGTAAGACTGGAGCCTGGGACCAATTTAATTTTGCATATTGATTTTGTCAGGCCAGGGGCCAAAAACACTATTTGTTCAAATATACATATATATATGACCGTGAACGCGATAACTTGAGTAATTTTTGTTTGATTTTAATGCAATTTGATTTGAAGGTGTAAGACGGGATGAGGACGGGATTTTAACGTAGGGCCTGCCCAATTATTCTTAATGATAATCAAAGAGCTTAGAAACAAAGCTAGCCTGATTTAAATCTAACCAGAATGGTTTCGCAGCGATCATAAATTCAAACATGTTCAATGAATACAGTCGGATCGAAATTATCTAGCAAGAATTTATTGGACTGAACGGAAATTATACCTTACCTCAGATACAATAATGACCACGAATTGTTTTAAACCAATTAAACCAAATTTCAAGTTGTTATTTACAATCGCAGCAGCATTGAGTTGTCATTTTTCAATTTGATGCTTAATGATAATTACCAAGCAGAAAAAAATAAGATGATCTTAACAGTTTGGACCTTTTCCATTAATTCTCTACCACTAATTAGTATATTAGGTTAGGACTATGTTAACGGAAAAGGTCCGTAAACATAGTCCTAACCTAACCTAATATACTAATTAGTGATAGTGAACTGAGTAGTAGTGAAATAACACAAAAGGTCCAATGTTTTTCTTGAAAAATGCATAGCCTCGGTGTTCAAAAACACGTGTTCATTAACCACTCACTAGTAGACAACATTGACGTAGGCCTGTGATTATTCTGTGTCATCTTTTGTCAGTAATTACATGTACATTATGATAATCCTCAGCTTTGTCACCAACTCTCCATTACTATCTGATGTTTTATTCAAAGATACCCTCAAGGCCTCGATGCATTTCGTTGTAACAAATCTGCAGATTCGCCCGCTTCATTGATTCGCTTGACCTCTTTTGTTTGTGCGAGCACTTGTAAAGTAGAGTTAATTGTTTCAATTGTACTTTTTAAGAAGGAATTTGTCTTTGTTGGATGTATGTTTTCAGACCCAAATTTGCTTCATTGCAAACTTACCAAGTGGGGTTAGGCAAATTTGTGTAAAGCTTATGAATATTTGTCCAACAGTTTTTAAAGTTTTTGTGTATAACTATAACTATGAACCCACAAAATGTTATATTTGTAACATATTTCTCGAAGTTTGATACGATATTTTAAAGTTATTTATGGTATAGGAGTGTACAGGATGTTATTTTTTTAACATCGACACTAAACCTGCTAATGTTTACTTTGCGAGAAAACCGAAACAATAATGATTACGTTTGGTGAAAAACATGTTTACCTTTGTAAATTTAACAGATTTTCCATCAAGTTAAACTTAAATGATCATAGAATCTGATGCTTAAACAATCAAAATATTTCAATCACTATTAATCATACAAGTTTTCTTTGCTCTTTATATCTTTAAAATATTTTCATATCAATCTGCCTTTCACATAAATATGCGAACGATGGGATTATGAACGCAGGACCGTATCGTACCGTAACCGTAATTATCCCGTGGTCTTTTCTAAATTAAATCCTTATGGACTTATAATTTTGTGCAACACAATTTATGCACTGGTGAAATTTATTGTGAATATCATATAGTCAATCTTATTTGCAATCTAATTTAATTTATTCGCGATAGAAGCAGTAGGATAAAACGAAATTTGATAAATTCTATGTTTGAAGTAGTTGGTGGTATAAGAACTTACAAAATAAATAACTATTTGCTCACATTTTCCACCAGTTTCTGAATCCGGTGCACTATCAAACATGGATTATGTATGTCCACATTTATCACATAAACAGTGGTTGACAAATTGTATAGTATAACAGTATATATTTAATACACATTTTACATTTTCTAGGTGTGGAAGGCCTACATGCCAGAATGGACGACATATTCCTTTCGGCATTCCTGCGAGGAAGAAAACACAATGTGGAAAAAGCGTTTCAGTGTGTAAGTAAAGCTGTAAATAAATATATTTTATCTCCGCCAGTCACTAAGGTTTTAATCCAATAATAATGTTGTGATCTAGAGCTACAGAGGCTATCCAAAACTTTAAAACATCTCCAAGTCGGGAAACCCTTTCCTATGTTAATGTTGAAAAACAACCTCCTCCAAAAGCTAGACCAATAACATAATTTTATGTTTACTAACGTAGTTAACACAGAACTACATATATGCTATAACTAGTGTAGTTACACAAATTTATCACTGATAACCTATAATTTTGTGTCAAAGGTAAAGCAGTATTACGACTTCAAAGCCAAGTACCCAGACTACTACTCCTACTGTGTCCCGTCAGAGTGCAGCGTTGTGTATGACTTGGGCCACTTCGCCAGTATACCAGGGGAGGACCGCCTGGGCAGAAAAATGTGTGGCCTAATACCTGGTGAGTTTGTTTGAAAATTCTAGAGTGGGGAAAACAGAATATCTATGCTACATGGAGAAAAGACATTACTCCACAGAATGTTTCAGTTACAGAAATGTTATTGATAATACAGATAAGTAATCTCACTGTTTCCGCTTTAGATATTGACCTTGCTACAGCTCTTATCATTGACTCAAGATGTACCTGATAGACTAATCATCCGATTATATAATATATTCTTAGTTTTGATTCTTCTAGTAACTTTTGGATGTGCTGATGTCAACCAACTGATTTCAAAATTATATCCATATTTACAGGTTCGCTTCCCTCATTGGATAGATACCAGAGCGCTTTAGTTGGTTTATAAATAGTTGAATAAAACAGTTTGATAAAACACTTTACACCACTCTGTAAAAAATAGCTCATTTCCTTACAGCTGAGTTATCCTAAAATCGTATATTTCCCATCGGGCAAAATGTACGAATTCGCCGGTCCCAAACATAATTTTTCTTTGTTAAAGCAAACTTTTGTATTCCCCAAACAAACTTTTCCTAAACAATTGAAGTTTTTGTTTAGCTCAACAGGATCACTAATGCATGTATTTCTATAGTATTACAGAATTATAATGAGGTCATTAACTTTTAAATTAATTGCAGCCTTCTGCTATGACTACTTTAAAAATAATTACAATAGTATGGAATAATATTTTACCATTTAAATACAAGACAATTCATGTGACTTTTTGCATCGTGATGAATATTGTTTACTACTCACCACAACCGACTCACCACAACCAACTCATCACAACCGACTCATCACAATCGACTTATCACAACCGACTTATCACAACCGACTTATCACAACCGACTCACCACAACCGATTCATCCAGCGGCTCAATAGTTAGTTGTAAACCACTATCTTGCCCTTAAATGGGCCACTTTCAAGACTAATAGTGAAATATATTATTACACAAACCTGATAGGAATATACCTCAAAACTGCCATTGCTGGTCTATCAGGACGAAACATTTACCAGGGATCATCTTCGATTGATTAAAAAAAATCAACATTTGACCAAACCCCCTTAAGCAAAACATCTCAATAAATCTGGATATTTGGAGTCGGGAAACCCCTTAAGAATATACCTCAATCTTATTAAATATTCGACCTACTTGTGGGTATTATTGTACGAGTTACGGCAAGTGTAAAACACCCATTGTCCTTAAACACAAAGCGTTGGGCATGAAGGGAATAGGCTTGTCGTATGATTGGACCATAAAAAGGACATTATAGGGACGATCAGGGCTTTACCAGCTTTGTACTGACTATTTTCATTGAATTCCTGAAGTTGTATAGTTGATTTATGATGCTTGAGTTCAATTAGTTTACATTGTTCATGGACAAGGTATAATTTAAGTACGCTGAAAAATTATCTTTCTTTATAGGATGGTTTCAAATAACTTCTCTCTTCAAAACAAGTTAAGTTTAGGATATCGTTGTTATGAATTAAAAACTAAGTCATTATCAATTATTTTGATGCTGTTTACGGACATGGTAGGCATATAATTTTAGCACACTTCATCTAATTCAATTTTTTTACTCTAGTTAGATGTTTTCATAGTACGAAATGTGTCTTATGAATCTCTATAAAGTTTTTTTGCAAGAACATAAATTTATCAATCGGTTGTTATAGAGAGTTATACTCATATACCAACTGATATCCACATTAATATCACCTTAATTTTGAAGAAAATTCTAACAAATAAATGATAAAAGTATGTAATATAGGATTAAACATTCGTAACTAGTTTTCATTAGTTAAGCTTATCACTAAATTATTCTCAATAATGTATGACAGACTGTTACTTTTGAGGCAAAATTTGACTTAGTATACCTTAGTACCCAGATAACTTTATAAACTGAGGAATAATGGTAATAGTGTGTACTGTAATACTAAAATAATGGCTAACAAATTAACTTCCAAAATTGTAATATTTTATTGAGCAACAAAGGAATAAGTTTTGACATTTATCACGTTAAAAATGTGTAAAATATCTTGATTAGATATTCAGATACTGTAATAACTTCACTTAAAAACCTATTCGTTCGGAATACGTGGTAGGTCTGTTTACATATATATTCTGCAACGAATTAAAATGAGGATTAGAATATAATAATGGCGAATAAAATGACAAAAGCACTCTTGAACTATTAATGTAAAAAACCCATAAGTTTGATCTGCTACAACCACAAACGTCCAGTGAAATAATGTTTCTTGAAACACTAACACTTCAACATGCTTGGTCCCCAATCATGACTGTTGTAAGCCGCTGGTCAGTGGACAAAGGCCAGCAGGGAAAGTAACTGTGATATTTTCCACGATAACGTCAATTAGACACATAACACTGGTTATGACAACAATAACAATAACAGCTGAGAAAATGACCAACGGCTGATTGTCTTTGGAGAAAGAAAGTAATCGTTTTCTGGAACTAGCAATGTTGGGTTGTCCGATGGGCAATAGTAATAACAATAATTGTATTGTTGTCATGTGATGATTGAAAATATCCTTAAGCATTCATAAATGATCAAGTTGAAATGTACGTAATCAATAGGAAGGAATAATTTAACGTTTAGTTATATAGATTTGATGATTTATTTTTAATGTTTTTACACCGATTGGGGAGCGAGGGACTTTGTGAGGGGGGGGGGGGCTTTGAGGGACTCTTGGTTCAACGCCTCCCAAATCATCAATGGATTTTATCTAAGTGATAATACCGCAACCTCAAAGGTAAAGCCTGTTCTAATGTGAACAAATCCTGGGCTAGTGACTAGTGTCCTAGGACAAAAAAGGTTTTAACCAATTTAAAGATTATAATTGATGCTTTCGCTATAAAAATAAAATAGCCAGTAGCTAAACCAGTTTGTAAACGCTTTGAATTAGTTATGCTTGTATATTGAACAAAAACTACATCACATAAATACTTAATACTATAATTATATAATATTTTTTATGCATTTATGTGTTTATTATGTTTTAATTTCATTGTATACATATCTATTATGGATACTTAAAGAATAGAGTTAGCGAAAATTGTGTATTTAATGGATCCAAACCTTGAAAAATATTCCATTTCATCTTAAAGGAATTTAAATTAACATCAGGGTATAATTACTTGTAAATCATCGATTCTTTAAAGGGATAACAAGACATGACGTCCATTTATAAAATAATCTTGATAGTATGCATATGGTTCACAAGATTTCGACCAAAATATTAAATTAATTTTCAAATTTTGTTTAACAGTACAAAAGCTATGTTAGGAAATATACATGTTGATATTGCATACCTCAACGATTGTCCGATTGACTTATTGGTGAAAGAAAACATTTAGATTTCCTCTATTTGCACAGTAGGCTACAGAAACTCCCAGATAAACTAGAAAGTGCATCTCACCAGAGCTACCTCGACCACCGGAGCGAGTGTGGTAATTAAATTTATTACTGGGAGAATTGTCTTCCGTTTTGAAATTACTTGAATATTATAAGGTTGAGTATGAATATAGCTCCAATCTCGCTTTTGATTGATACATCCGTATTCAGAGATGAACACATTTTTGTTTGTAAAAATTTATTGTTTTGTGTTACTATAGTCTTCCCTTACATGACAAGAGTAAACAGGCCAAAATTTCGTTTAAGATATTCAGGTATTCGATCAGTTTTCATAAAAACCAAGTTTTAAATGTAATGCTATAAAACAAAACCAATTATTTCAGAGTTGAGATTGATTTTGAACATTACTTTTAATCCTTGTCATGGGGGTTGATCGAAAATGCATCTTTGACCCTCGCTCAATTTCCGAATTGGTGAACGTTAACTTCTTAAGTTAATCTTTGGTTTATGGTGATAAGAGTCAGTTTGAACTTTTGTGATGGATTACATAGTAAATCAATGTACATAAAATTGAATTAAAATTTTGACATTAGGATAGGACGACGTCAGTTGGGCCAGCTAGTTTAAGATAAAAAGTTATTATACTTATAATTTACAGCTTTGGGTTAAGATACTGTAGATACTTGTGTGAAACAACACAAACCGATTGATATAAATCTTATAAATAACTTATGTTTAAGATTGTAAAATAAAACGTCCAAGATTAGTTTGAATACCAATCTGCACATATCTGTGAAAATCTAGATCCAGATTTTGTACATGTTGATACGATTTCATCCACTGGATAAGTGAGAAGAAGGAACAAAAAATGTTCATAAAAACTATGGAGGACGATTGAACTGGTTGAACTAATTACACGTGATCCACAAACAATACGATTAAAACCTAAACTCATTGACGTAGGTAGTGGGAACTTTTTTACATCATTTTTAAACCGGTTCCTCGGTTGATGTAGCGAAGGCCAATATTAGAGCAGGAAACAGACTAGCACAAAGATCCGTAAACGCGGGGATTTGAAACGATTAGAAAGAACCGGTTACAGCATTAATTTTTTGTTGTACCTCTCTTCCGGTCTCTTTCTAGTTTGCTTTAATTCGTCAAAAAACCATCAATGGTTTATAATTTATCATAATAATAACCAATATTTGTTTATAATTTATACTGATTCTGCTGAGACCCTCAGAAGGGGCCGTCGTCAGTTTGATTTAAGTGAACGCTTTAAAATAGTTTTAATTAAACATCTAGAAGCCTCTCAGTAAATTAGGACAAGGAAGTGCTCAACGACGCGACGTTTGTATGTAAATTAACGAGTAGGTCGAATTATACGACGAAAACAGAACATTATCTTTGTTCTAAAACGCGTTGGATGATGAATCTGTGCTATGTTGTATTTGAACTTTCTCTTATGCATTACAAATAATTATGCAACTTTTAATGTTCACAACATAATTTGAATATATTTCATTGAAAGATATATAACACATTTGTCTTTGAACTAAAATTAAGACTTTGTTTTTTGACCAGAGGCTTTTGAAAAGTGCATAGCGCTGTAAATTTCAATTTAGTGTCTCCTGTAGGCCTAGCGTTGCTGTAAAGTATTTTTAATGTACTTCATAATTATTTTAAAACAATAGCTGTAAAAATGCTGGGATGATACTAATTTATAGTAAACGTTTTTTGTTATGGAAAAAATCCGGCTTTAGCGTGGTATAGTTAATTGATTTGAAACTAAATATTGATCTTTAAACTACCGCAGTTTTCAATAATAATGTTATAAAACCTTTTGTCCCTACAATACAATTTACAATTATTCAACCATAATACAATATTACAATTTATTCACTTTTACGAAAATATGAAGAAAACCTTAAAACATTAGAAAGGCTAGTGACATAGAGGGGTTGATAGAATTCTTATGTTAGTTAAATATAAAAAAAATGTTTGCTTGATAACTAAGCAGGTATACACAAAAGATTTTTTCGTTTAAAAATACTATCAACTACATAATTAAATCAGTACTGTACTTAATAATATTAAAAATGTATGTATACACAATTTCTACAAGACAAGTAAATTACACTTTGACTACTAAAACAAAATACTAATGAGACCATTAATCGACTCAAAAATATATACAACTGAAACGTCTTAAGTATTTTCGGACTAAATAATCACATTATGATGTAAGCTAACAAATTTGTTTTCATGATGTATTAATGATGCTATTCATATTTTTTTCGTGATAAGAAATCCTACTTGTTTTAATTAGAAAGACAGAGTTTAAGTTTTACTTATGAGAACGAGGTTTTTTAATATTTTTCTATACAGAAAAGATAAACTTTTTCTTTAAGTAATAAGTTGCACTAAGAATAATATTAAATTCTCATGTTTGTTCGCTGATCAAATTAGATGTGGGGGTTTATGCTAAAAGTTTGTAACGGAAAAGTAATGCACATTTTATGGTTATGAAATTGGGAATTATGACATAGGTCCTGAATGTGGTCTAAGTTTGATTTTGACCGACGTGAACTATTCAACTATTACATATTCAAATATAAAGTTATCCACCCAAGAGTGGTGCATACTTTGTCACAGTGACTCGAACCATGCATGGATTGCAGGAAGAGCTCAGTCCCGTCACTTCTGGTGGTTTATAGGTCAAGGTGGTCGACCTGTGTAGCTTGTACCAGTCAAGAGTCAAGACGTAGCTGTGTTGCTGGGTGTGGGGAATGTGTGTATAAGCTAATCTTCACTATCCATGGATTACGTGAATTTTGTAGATATAATTTTAGCAAACTGGTTCCAAAAAGTATTTAGTAGTTCGTTTTCAAATTTACAAGTGTTAAGGATGAAAAACGGAAAACATAACATGTGGAGATAATCTAATAGAATTTGAACAATGTTTATGATCAATTCCCTTTATAAGTACAAGTTCGACAAATGGCCAATTTTAACATTAACTAAAAAAAAATAGTTATCGAGCATCTAAATTATGGTTCATGATCTAACCCTGTCATTTAAATTTTACACACAAATAAATAAATACAGTACCAAAGTATACAAAAGGGCCAGTCAAATCTAATCTAATTTCATATTAGTTCATATTTTAGATATTTATTTGGAATACTTAAGTTCTTCCATAACAAATGAAGAATGAATATTTTGTTTGAAAACCTCGCAGGTTTATTAGGAGTTAGTTCTGAGTTATTGTTATCTATGTCATTATTTACTTTACTTACTTTACTTTATACAAAAATACTTCTTTAACCATAAACTTCTTCCTAATAAGATTGGTAAGATCGGTCTTCATTATACGGAAAATCAACTACATAATCTACTAATACATAAACTACTATATAATGGGGGGGACGGGGGTTGAGGGTAGAATACAGCAAGACTGATAGTATGTCGTCTGGAATTATAACCAAAAGGTTAAGTAATAATCATAAAATCTACCCTAAAAAGAGAGAAAAAATAGCGAAATTTAGTCAACATCAGCACTCTCAAACGTCACCAAAATAAAACGTGTATAAAGCAGCCATTTTATAGGCCTAATGATACAAAAGTCTACTTTCTATATCCAATGTAAATTGCATTTTCACGCCATTTTGTATTTCATAAACGAAACCCAACAAAATACAGTTTTTAATCCACTCTCTTTTCCGCAGCCAAAATAGACCTGGACAAGTCGCCACTGGATGAGTCGTTCCGCATGGGGACGACCATCTTCGAGATCATGATGGAGGACCCCACCCTCCAGGTGATGGGGACCATAGTCATCATAGACTTGGCTGAGCTCACCATCATGCAACAGGCTAGGCTCATCTCACCCTCGCTAGCGTGGCACCTCACTAATATCATACAGGTGAATAATATCACAATACAGAACTGTATGTCCGAGTAGTAATGGCTAACTGGATTATTAGAGTTATGAACAGTTTTAGAATGGTACTCACCATCAAGGAGAAAATATCACATCACAAGTAATTAAGAAATAGTAATTTAAAGTGTATAACGCATTTACAGTGGATTTTTTCTAGGTCCACAATTTATTCTACCAAATATTCTAGTCTACATCCATTTAGATGACACACCGAATAAAACCTACACGAAAAATCAAGTTCATATTAATTTGTTTTTATTTAGGCTACTTTTGGATTTTAAGATTCAATTTTTAAAGTTGTATAGAATGTTTTAAAGTCATTCCCTTTCAATAAGACCCTATAGAATATTACAATTTACAATTATAAAAATGCATTGTTATTAGCAGCCCTTATTTAATTTTAGATACCCAGATAATGTTTTTATTTCAACAGAATTTCTGAAATAATAATTAGTTACCAACTATTTATCGTACTGTACTATAGCATATTATTGTTTTAAAATATATTTAAAGCTAGGTCAGCTTCAAATCCGATATACTGTATCAAAGATATAGTAAAAAATATTCTTGGTTTCAACAGGACAAAATCCCGCTGAGAGTGAAGGCAGTCCACGTCATCAACCAACCCTTCTACTTCAATGCGATATACGCTGTATTTAGGCCTTTCTTAAAGAAGAAGCTCAGAAAGAGGGTGAGTGTTTGGAACAATAAAAACATTTATATACAAATCATTCAAAAGTTCAGTCATATGAATAAAAATAATGTTACTTATAAGTTAAAACTTAATTAATAATAGTTTTAGCTACTAAGGTACACTTGTTAATTGTAAATTTAAAAAGTTGGAATAAAGTTATCATCTTACTGTGAATGTTTAAGGTAAATTGTTCCTAAATAATTTAATTCGAAATTTAGTAAAAAAAAAAATAATCCGATTTAGCTCTGTGGCAATGTGAAAAAGTATTTATACATGTAAAGAAAGTAAGTTAACACTCAATAGTTATTTTTCCGTGGTCATAGTGTCCAATCATTATGTGCCTTCAAAATCACCACCTTAGTACTTTGAAAACTCTTAGAGTACATCCTTGAACAATAGTTAAACGATAGAACAAGTAGAATTAAACTTGATGTTTCCTTTATTTTAATTAGATGTGCAACAATGTGAAATTAAAAATCAATTAAAACATATTAACGAAGCAAAATGAACATTGTAGTTATTCTTTTCATTGTCATAGAGTCCAATTATTATTTTCGAAATTTTAAAGCCCTTGGACCGATCCTCTAATTAGCATTATAGAGGAAAAGTTATATCTTGTGGACTAAATTACATACTCCTTGAATAAATAAAGACCAGAACACAAATTAGAGCCATTCAAATAATGCAATCAAATTATGTATAATTAATTTTAGATTATATTGTAAGGCGAAATGAGGTGCGACCTGAGCTTACCCTTATCTACCTCATTTTACAGCTAAATATTGTGAAATTTATTTTAATTATTCCTCTTATTAAATCTTTTTCAACTTGGTTTCGTTTGATAGGACATTTGCAATGTTAAATAAAAGTTTTGGCCTTGAAATTGTTTCATGAAAGCAGCGGTTTTTAGTAATTTATATTCTAATAATTAAAATAGCCTCCATTTAGAAATCTTCCGTTGGACCAAGCTTGTTTTAATCTACATACCACGTTTTATAAAGATCGGTTAAACAATCTAAGGATTAACAAATTTTTTATAAAAAATACAAGATCGCAAATAAGGGCCATTCTGGTGAACGAGGTGATTACGGAAAAAGATTCAAATTTGATGTTCTTTTCATTTTGACCCATAAAGCAATTTCCCGGAGTTAAGCTTTTTACTTACGGGTCACCCTGTGTATATACCAAAGCTATACAATCTAGAGGCAGGAAGATGAAGTGAAAACATACATAATATATCTACTTTACTCTTTGATAATACATAATAGCTCGTATTGTGTATATTATAGCAAAAATATAAAAAAAACAATTTTTAACACAATGGATGACTCTGGTATATAACTATCTAAACTTAAGTCGTATTGCAACTATTGTTCTACTGTCTTATTACCTATTCTCTTCCTAGATATTTCTACACGGTAGAGACATGCAGTCGCTCCACAAGCACATAGACCCCGTCTACTTACCTGTAGAGTGGGGTGGTTCCCGACCGACATTTAACAACAGAGCAACTAGGACCTACGTTAGGATGAACGAACACAAGTTTAAAGGTAGGTTAACTATTGAGAAATAGAAGGTTGAAATACCTATAATATTGTATTACTATTATTTTTATCAAGCGACCCTTGTTTTGAACATAAAGGTTCATTTTTAAGCCGAACACCAAGTTATTTAACACATTCTTTTCATCCCTGTGTTTTTAAAGTCATGAATACGCATTAACTAGCACCAATATACGCACACGATAGCACAAAATATAAATCTGGCCAAATATGAAGATTATAGAAAATGTGTGTTGTTTAAGCTAGAAAATTTACCTATGTTTGAAACTAGTGGTCGTGTAACGGGAAACACTTCACTTGGTCACGTTACAGTATTGCATAGTATTTAAATCGCTAAGCTCTCTAAACTTGATACAGAGCCGAAAATTGTAGTCAACCCTCAGTTTTAAGGGTTTAAGTACACTTAAATTAAACTCAAGTGACCTATTAATTATTACTAGCCTGTTTGGGATGTTTCATATCACAAAGTTAAAACATATAATACGCATTTATAGTTGTCTCGTAGTTATAGTGTTATAAAGTTATTTTATTTATCATTAATTCGATCAAGTTCTATAAAAAGTGATAAAAATAACATGGAAGTTTCAAAAGTTTATATTAAGTTACTGTTTATCATGGATAACATTGTTTGATTGTCGAGCAATAAATGGTAAGATAGTGGTAACAGATATTTTGGACAAATATTAAAAACCTTAATATGAAAAGTAATTTAATTTTCGTACTAAAATTACATAGACTGTTTAAAATAATAATCTCCTTTTTTATTTTTTCAGAATGGAAGCAGTATGGATATAAAAGCGAAGTCAACTAGACATTCGTTTTAAAAGAGAAGAAACCTACGACTTTTATATGTTTATATTATTACGTTATTTGTAAATATATTATATATTTTACTTATGCCTATTTTTTATGTCCAATATAAAATGTTTTGAATTAGTCCACTTCTAGCAACACGATAATTTTTTTATGATATGAGTTTAATATTATATAGGGTGGCCAACCAGCCTACAGATCACCCATCGTATGTACAATACAATACCCATATATATCTTACTCATTTTTTATTTACTGTTATATTTGCACATATCATTAATTGTTTTTATTTTACCATCAGTAAAGAAAAAATCATTTTTTTAAAAATGTTTTCAATAATAACTTTTAGGTTTTTCTATACATAATAAGTAACTATTTCTACTAGCACATAACAATGTGAAAGATTTCTGTGAGTTATTTAGCTCATAAAAGATGTAAATACTCAATTTACTTGCAACAGCCATTCCTGCAAGCCGAATAAGTGCAACACACAATATTGTGAATAAATATTAGTTACGACTAATATTTACGACTGCAATACAAAGTCGTAAGTTCGTAACTATATCTCATAATTATACATCTTACCAGCGGAAAACGTAGACCGAAACTAAAAAATAACGCCTTTAAGCCGGAAGAAACACACTAATGGTACATAATTGATTATTGATTGTAGTACGAGCTACTTTGTTATTATGATCCAATGTCATATCTTCTAAATTACCACAAATAATCGAGTAAACTCCTGTTTCGTTTTGCATAGCAGATACTAATAAAACTTCACACACAGTGTTTTAATCCTTATAGAGGAGGCTTTATCATTTAATTCAAGTTATTGCAATGTTATTGCAGTTCGTAGGTTGGTCATATAATATATTACTAGTTAACCGCCCGTGCTCCACCACGGGAATATTGTCAGCAATAAAAGAAATAATAATTAACAAATACTGTTTATCTTTGTATTTTATTTAGGGGTTGTTTATAAACTATTTTATGTTAATCAAACCGATATATTATTTTAACCAAATGAATGTTTTATATTAATTCGAGTTTCATTTGAAAAATAAATAGAATACGAACTGGGCAATGCTGATAACCTAATAAGCAGCTATTTATGATATTTAGATAATTTGCTCAAGTATATTCCTATATTCGTCGTTTTTTTCATTACATTTGTTGTATGGAATAAAGATAGTCACTTAGTAGCCTACATGTAAATCACGCATCAGCAGTTGGTCGCATTTCACGAATCTTTGACCCATACTGTGAGTAAAAACTGTGTTGACGTCGTATATATAAAGTTGGGCATACTTTGTTCAATGTTAGAGGTTATTAACGGTCCAATTTGATGGAAAAGGAGTCGTGGATTTTAAAACTATGTAGACTACCACACCCAGAAAGATGTTGATTTAAATTACATTCCTCTTCTGAATCATAAAATAAACTTGACTATAGCGACTGTTAGGTGTTATTTCAATTCTGTGACGAGCTTGACTGTTTAATACATCCTCATAAGGTTCTTCTTTTGTGTTTGGTCAAATATTGCCACTAATACTTACAATAGCAAATGAGTCGTTGCAGCTTCTTGTTTTTGACTTGAAATGTCTTGGCTGTTGGTGAATTCCAGTCAATACAATTGATATTTTATTCTTTGTGGAGCTGGCAACGTAGCCTTGCCGTTATGATGGCAAGAAGAATAGTACGAAAAATCGACCGTTGAGAGCACCTCACACCATTAAAGGTAAATATTTTAAAATTAAAAAACCTTATTGCAAAACTACAAAAAATAGAGACGACGTTTTTGACACCTCAAACGCTGAAATTGGAGTAGTTAAAAAAAACGGCTTCACGTATTATAAATATTAATATTAAAATAGCTGAAGACAAAAATTAATAATAAATTATATATCATTACTCCTTATTCTCCTTATGTTCAGAAAGACATTTAATCTTATCATTAGTCCATATTTTGGATGGATATAACATTATTGAAATTCGAATATAATGTTCTTAGGCTCTATTCGCAATGAATTCAGTGGGTTATATCTTTTAAGTTAAATTAAAGCTTTGTTTCCTTCACCAAACGTGTATACAGTACACTATTATAAGAATCATATACATTTACATCATATATCATAACATCCATTTTTCATTATTGGTAAATACGATAAAATAATACAGAACAACATTCTCTTTATACTAGAATTTCGTCATAGTTCTCCTAACTTTCGACAGTTGGCAGCACCGAGTCTATTGATCCAACCAAGCCAGTCTAATATGGCGCCTTCAGTGTTCTAAAGTCGATTGACTGCAGAACATCGTGTATTTGACACCTGTTTATACAATGGATTTGACATAATTAGGTAACCACATATTTTAAAAAGTTTAAAACAAGCAGTAGTTTTGCCTGTGCAGTAAAGATAAATCCCTAAATACTGAGAGTTTTATTCTGGCGTTGAAAAAATATTGTATATTAGGTTAGTTACTACATTAAACATGTATTTGATTACATTTTAAAATATTTAAAATTTGAATAAACATGTTATAGTTAACCAAAACCTTAGGATAAAGTAGCAGAGTTTTATGACATTATATTTGTACAGCAGCAACAAGTATGTATAACGTTTAAACATTTCTAGGGTCATTTTAGATTTTTATTTCAAAACGATGTAAAAAATTCTTGTTTAAAGTTTTAATAATGCATTGAAATAATTTTAAACTAGGTAAATGAACTGTTGTTGTTTTATCTTTTATAGCGTCAATCAAGTTAGGATGGAGACAATTTGTTTTATTAATATGAACAACCCCGATGGGTTCACTGTAATGAATTAACGTTTTGACGACTTAAAGTTAGTGAAGCAAAGTAACTTTTAAATAATGAAATTTTAAAATAAACTAGTCAAATTTTCAACCAAAATTGTACCCTATCGTAGCACTGTAACTTAAATACAATCTTAATAGGGCGTGTATTAAAAATCTTAAATATATTAAATTAGTTTTCGTTTAATATCATAAAATGTAACATTCGACTATATTACCTCAGCTCTAAAGAAGGAATACAATTATAAAACTGCAGGAGGTAGTAAAATGTCAGCCATGTTGAGTATTTAAGGTTATGTTTGCCGAATATCTGGGTCACTTGTGAATCAATATTACCAGTGATCCTATTAGCCTGTTTGTGTAAGGGATGATACGTTTAAGAGGAGCAAGTTAGGATTACAAGAATGGTTAATGTAATAATATGTTTAGTAGTTATACAATATTGAGCTAAAAATAATTTCTTCAATTACTGTAATTATCACATAATATAGGTGTATACTAATAAAATATCAGGGTGTTGAATATATATCTTAAGCACAAAATACAAGTAAAAATATATTTAAAAACATGTTTTTATAAAAAAAGGGAATCGCGATAAATAGGCCTAATTATAGGTCTATTAATTATTCAATACTGACACACCAATTAAATTTTTTTCTTGAGCCTTAAAAATATTAGTTTGAAGGCTAACGTTAAATACATCTTCATTTCACGCTGAAACTTAACTTGGTTATTTTTATAAATTGCCACAATGCATTTATATGCGTGATCTCCGGATTACTTTATACCTTTTGTTACATAAATCGTAATATATTAATTCTGTTTGATTGAAATTAATGTCAATCTTCTCAAGTTCTATATTATTCAGATAACTAAGATAACCAATAAAATAATGGAACTGTACTTTTACATTACTCATAAACTAAAACAAAGTTATAAGTTCCTTTTGACGTTTTAAAAATATCTGTTTTGTTAAAAACTACAAGGCATTCCTTTTTAAAAGGGTATGCATAAAACAATGTGATGTAGAAATTAAAGTGAATTTAAAGTGTCGTTCTTAAAAACGCCTCAACAAGATCCATCAGGAGTAGTTAACTAGTCTCTAACAATTAACTGACCCGTTCAGTAAGGGTCTCTAGTCCCAATTAAATGTCATTCAACCAACCCTGGTAAAATGTGATTGGTATGGTCCGTCTAGTTCGATAAGGTACTGGAAAAAACTCGTATCTTGAAAACACAAGGATGGAAACAGTTTGGTTACCAATCAGAGGGTCAAAATGATTCCTGGAAACAATGGATACGAATACAAATTGAAAAGTTATTTTGGGCCAAAAGCTATTCGATACCAGATTCCAAACAGTATTTACAAATAGGTAAAACACTATTTTAACCTTTAAAAACGAATTTGTTGTAGCAAAACCGTCTGTAAATTTATCACGATAAAATTACAGCTCTAAGATTAATTTGAAAAATCTTTTCAAATAAAATATTTTTTATTCAGCACTATAATGTTATGTATTTGCAAAGTAGGGGTGAAAAATTAGTCACCCCTGTGTGTTTAAACGGTACACAATCAGAGCTTCACAGAATTTGTTGGCATGATAAGTAAGACCCAAGGGAAGTTGCTGTGTGTACAATATTGTTCTGAATAGTTCAATTCCTAGCTTCCCTGCCTTTTATTAAACTTGACATCCATTAACATTTTTTTATAGTGCTTTCATGCATTTATATGATACAGTACTTTAATGGTGTACTGAGTTGTCATAATAAATATAAGGTGTGAATGTTTTTGGAGGTAGTTAACATAAGTATCAATTTCAATTGAAAATTTAATAGGTGTCTAAAATGTCGAAAGTAAGTTATTTAATTAGTTTTAATAAGTTATTTAGTTATTTAATAAATTAAACTAATTACCAGTTTTTCAAACATAAAGGAATGCCTAAATATGTACAAATGTATAAATTTTCATTAAACAGCCGTGAAGAGTTTTCTTGTCTACAAACAACTAACCACGTACTAAGATTTTTCTGTAATTTTTATCTCCGCTATTTGATTTATCAATTTCGCAATACTATGTTTGATTTATTCTTAATTTCTCTGATAAAAACCACGTCTCAGACATAAGAAAAACACAAAGACTATTACAAGTTTTGTGTTACTGAACAAAGTTCTCCTTTTTAATGGACTCCGGTAAATTCGTTCCAAACTATAAATGCAGTCGCATCAAAGTCATTAGAAACTTTCATTTAATTTATTTGTAAATTAAAAATGCTTGGAATGAAAAGTTGTTGTTTTTTTAATAAAAAATAGTAATATAATATACACATTCATAATTAAAAGCTTTATATATTTAAGTACTTTATATATTACGACGGCAATTAAAATTAATACTATCCCTTGGTTTATCAAATAATAATAATCTATTTAAAAAATATATAACCTCCAAAATTTATTTTTCAAAATGGTGGTCATTTTAATATTTATAGCCTAAATTACAAAAAATGGAGGATTTTATGAAAAGATTCTAGGTGAGATAAAAAAGGAATTACTAATAATGTTCACCCCTAAAAAAAATTTTTGCAATTTCTCTCTTATTTTATATAGCTGTAAAAACCTTATGATGTAGTATGCTAAAGAATTACTGTACATCTAATAGTTAAGTAGAAAATGGGGAAAACCTGGAAATAATGGTATTTTAATTCTTATGGGGAAACATGATGTGTTGTAGTTTACTTGGTTATACAGTAGATATATTTTGATAAAATATGGCGAACTTATTTATCTCATACTAATCTACTATTTTTTGCTATAAATATACGTTAATGCCTTCCCTGTAGCAGCAAACCGAGGTAGTCATAACACATTATGTTATTTAAATAGAAAATAAATCATTTGACATTTTTAAGGGAGTACTGTCGTGAATTAACATTGTATGTGAAACCACTTCACCAAATAGGGCAATGAAAATATTGAATAGGCCTACAATTAAATATAAAAAAAAACGCATGGAAAAACGAATATTAGAATGGAACACATTGAAATGAAAACTTAATAAACAGTAATGACAGGCAATTAGTTGAGTATTCTACATAAATATCTGATTTATTAGGATTCATATTCTAAATTGACAAACAAGTCCTCTGCAAATGACTGCCAACTCGTTTGTCGAAATGCTCATTACCTTAAATTCTCGTTACGTTTCATCAATATTGAAGCAGGAAACAACGTAAATCCTCATTTCAGCTTTCCCTGTTTCATGGAACTTCCAAACAAAGATTTATATGTAAGAAAATCATAGAATAGTGTCTATAATTCTAGCAAAACTCTTTTTTGGAACCCCTTCACTTTTTTTGAGCTAATAAGATGTTTGTCATATTAGTATTTTGTGTTATATTCACTCGAATGGTTCATGTGCTGGTAAAATCAACACTAAGGTGACCAAGAGGTATTTATCTTATTTTAAGAAATATTTAGTTAATGTAATGCTATCGTGCATGAAGTCATTGATTGTTTTTATGATTTTTTTGTTATATTGACTTATTGAAACTGGTTGAGTAAAAAAAACACACAAAAATATTTATGAAGTATTCCTTGTAGTTTTATATTGTAACCAAACGGTAAAACAGGCATTGTGAAATTCACCCGATTACGAGGCAAACATTTAGCAGCCGTCAAAATACCCCATTGTAACCGGTCAGGAACCACATATCATAACCGGATGAGGCCTAAGATGGATACCCGTTAAATCCGGCCATTCGCCAGCGAAACTAGAAGCCTACGACAGAAAAAATTGCTTCTTCCATATAGAAGAAATTTGCTAAATCCGTTAATAGTTTTTCGGGAACAGCTGATGATGTTTTATGTTTGTATATAGTATCAGCTGTTTAGATACATTTATATTTGTTTGAATACAGATATGCCAGAGTACATTGCAGTAGCGGCTCCTGGAGTTACACTCCCTGTACTGCCAGGGGAGTGGGCCCAGCGAGCTTTCGTCGAGCTCAACGAGATACCAGAAGCTGCGGTAGAAGCTCTACACGAGCTCAAGCTCAGAATTGCAGGTAATGTCAATCATACAACCATTTGCAGAACGCATTCCTTGTTCATTTTAACAAATTACACCAAACAATTGAACGAGCTCTAAATGCTGTAAAGTAGGTTTGGCGTTATTTTTGAAATGGAAAATAGGCCTATGTGTTTTGAAAGTATTTTCCTCAACCTGTTGTATTTTTTACATTTATTATACAAAAAAATAAAAAGGAACTAAACAGCCTCAAAGGCTGTGTAGGCTAGGCTACATCTTCCCACCTAGAATACCTTTTTGTATGGAGCAGCCTCCTAAGAAAATAGCCCTAAGAAAAATAGTAGTTTTTATTTCATTCTTTGATTGTTTTAGATAAACTGTATTTAGCTCTTACTGTTTAACTGCATGACAACATCTGTGCAACACGTTGTATTGTTTCGTATAATGCAAATATGTCTATGACTACTATTAACAATTCATAAACTTCATGCTCCTCGGACGTGGGCCTGCTGATGTTTAAGTTCGTTGACGTACATTGAAATATGCAAAACATGAAAATCCCATAAGCAAGACGATTTTACACGTTAGATTGAACATACTAACTTCTTATCTTTAATCGGTTGTGTATATAGCGTAACCACGCATCCTGACTAGGTGTCAAGCAGACTAGGTGTCTACTGTTAAGAGAGCTGAATGTACCTATTTTGTACACGCATATTTAAGGACTAATGTGTTAATTAAAATGTATAATTACTATTCTAAGGTTATTTTCCCCCAATCAACTAATGGTTGGCAGCTGTGCAACTGTCATTCACTGCCATTGATACGCAAGTTGTTTGCCATTAGCTTTGTCATCAGTCAAAACGTCAACGGCGGCGTAAACGTCAAACTGTGGTCATGTTTACCAATCTTGATGGATTATGAGTCCGTAGTGAGGTCACACATACTACATACCACGAACGAGTGAATCTTTTATAAAGTGTAAAAATATCCAGCTGTCTGTCACTCGGATCACGTTTTATTGCAAATTTTAATCTTCAACTGTATATCCCAACAAGATCGAAGTTAAAGAATAAAATAGGAAATGTATCTACAGTAGGAAAAAAACGAATAATAAATTTCAAAACAGTCACACCATAACTGTAATTACTCAAATTCACGAACATTATATCCCAAAAATACAATCAATACCTTGGGGGAGTATGTTTTATCTATGTCAATACTTACTTAAGGAACTCCTACAACAGGTACTTTAAAACAGGGTTACACTGAATGGTGGTTCACAAATATCGAATTGGCTTAACAAATAAAATTAGAAACTTCAACATGCCGTAACATTATCAAAATTAGTAAATGAGCTTACTTTATGCAAACGTTTAATTTTTATGTTCTTTTTGGTGTTTTTTTATGTCATGTGCTGGGCCAATTATTGACTTATTGAACATTCATATATATCGGGAGACTTTTATCTACATATGAGTAAAACAAACTAAGTATGACGTGAAAAAAAGTATTTATAAAAAATACGTTAAAGAAATCAATTGTGATTTGACATGTTAAATTATTATAACTAAACTATATGAATTGAATTAGTATTTTAGTAAAGGTTTATTTATTTTCTAGATGACACTGAACTGCACGCCTGCACTGACGATGCCTTTCTGCTTAGATTTCTCAGAGCTCGAAAGTTCAATATATCTAAAGCATTTACAATGGTAAGTATTTTATATTGGTAAGTACATTATGTTTTTACTTTGTACTTTGAGTTAACGCTTTAACAAGATAACAATAAAAAATAAAGTTATATGGTACTGTATTATAAAACCAAGTTAAGGTATTATGGTACTTATGGTATTATATGGTATTATATTAAGTTATATGGTTTAATTATTAATTATACGGTATCGTATGGTAGATAAGTCCAAAACGTATTATTTGGTAAAACTATTTATAGTTCTGTAGTGCTTGGTAGCAATTTCCTTTGCTTGTGGACACAAGTTTTAGAAAAGAAACACTGTTAAGTATAGTAAGAATGATACATAGTAAAATGTAAACTATGTATATACCTGACCTTAAATATTTCATTTATAAAACTTTTGTTCATTGATACTTGTTTGTTCTTGACTCTTTGCCATTTTAGTGTTGCTTTTACCACCAACAAACAGTCCAAGCAGAACTGTTTCTTTTTAATACTAACATAAAAATAATATAATTTTAACTAGTTGTAAATACAGTATACCAAGAGTCATAGAGAACATTGATGTGTTTGGATAGTTACAGAGGTACTACCGTATGAAGGAGGAAAGTCCTGAGCTGTTCAGGATCCCTCGTCCATCAGAAAGACTTCACATCCTGGAGATGAATGCTCAGTGTGTCCTGGACGACAGAGATCACAACGGCAGTAGAGTCTACATCTTTAGAGTCGGTATGGTCTGGCTATCTACCTACTAATAGCATTTAGTTTTATTTCAAAATAATATTTTGTGGAAATTATTTGTGAATGAACAAAGAGTAGCTTAGTTGAAACTTATGATGATTTGGTTCATTTGAATAATTATAAAATATGCTACAAACATAGTAATGGTTTAACTAATAATGTATGTATAAATTTATTGTTAAATAGTTATGAGTTTTACTTCTTACCATCCATATTATCATGTCATATAGCCTATATTATATGTAATGAAAATGTAAGTGTGCCATATTCTTATATAATTTCTGTAACAATGGGTGTCAATATTTTTAAATCGAATTTTAAAGTAACTTACGTATGGAATAACGATTTTATTAACAACACCAAAATTAATTGTAAGCAAATCAGAATTTGTAATGAATGATACAAGTAATGAATGTTGTAATGAATGATTATATACAAGAAACCCGAAGTCACCAAAAATTAAATAATATTAAAGGTACACACATTCATAAAACATTATTGATTTTTAGCCAATGTTTTCATACTAATACAGGTTTTTTCTGTTTCTCGTCTTCCTTGTAAAAGCAAATCAAAAGTAAAGAGATAAGAAAACTATTTTACTTAACAAATTCATTTCTACGTTCTGCACGATGTTAATATCTATGGATTATACGACTCATTTACTCCAAGTCCATATTAAATGGAAAACACGTCATTGCAGATTTACTTTCTTCCAGTGAAAAAGAGATTATTCATTAATTAGTTTGTTTTGATTGAATTAGTACAGAGCTGGTCGAAAATTGTATTGCATTAGTATATTTTATAGTAATTTGTAAATAGAACTTGCATGTATCAGCTTCTAAAATATAATTTTTCCCTCTAAACCACATAAAGAAAGACATAAAAATATATAATATGCCTGACTTGAGTTTATTCACAGTAATGAATTGTTGATTAATTATTATTTTTTTAATGTAATACAATTTAAATGTGACAATGTGTTTTGTGATAGTGAGATATTCAAGTCAGATAACATAGGGCTATAAACAAAATCACCATTAGTTTTTTAATTACTATTCGACAGTAGTTATAATATTGCCACATGAAATTAAATTAAATGTAGAAAGTTTTAATTAATTAATTAATTAACTAAGTTTTAAATAATTAATTTGTTAAAATTTTAATATTTAAAAGGTTTTAATATAACGTAACTCTTTATACAATAGGAACAAATATGTATTTTTTGCATTCAGGTAGAAAATATTAATATTACGCATTTTCTGTAAAAAAATATAGTATATCATATGTGAAACAGTAATATAAATTAATAATTAAAAGGATGTAAAAACTAAAATCATTCCATAAACTAACAATTAAATTAATATAAAATACACACATTTTAATGAATATCGTTACACGTATTGACTTCACATGCATAACAAATGAGTCAAATTACATAACGGGCATAACAAAAGGCCTTAAAATAACAATTAATAGAACACATCATGAGATTGGGTACTTACTTATTCATTTTATCTAGGACAGTTTAAAAAATTCACTACTCTTGCTGCTGCCAAAAAAGCTCAGCCTTTGACATATCAACAGCCACCAACAGAAACATACGATGAAGGTAAAGCTCACTTGTACGTAGTGCTTAATAGGGCAGTAGCTCATGCAATGTTTTGCTGGTTGATAGATATAGAAAAGATGGTTGTTTGATATATGATACATATGAAAACATTTAGTTAAGGGCTGCACAGTAGATTAGAAGGTGGAATTAAGGAAAAGAACTCAATCAATATACAGACTGCCCCTAAAGTCCCGGACCGGTTTAATATTTTCTAAACGACAACAGATAAATCAATAAGATTTGGTACACCAACACCACACCTAAAAATCAACTTTTTTAAGGAAATATCAATTTTCTGTCATATCATGGGGACGTCCAGCAAGGAGTCAGAAGGAAATCTTAAATAGAAGCATAGGTTGACATGTACATCAAATTAAAGAACTTTACTAGCAGAATATAATGCCGCAAATTTGATCTCAAACGGATAACTGAGTAAAAAATGACAGCCGTTCAAAGATTTCTTAAATCAGCCATTTTGAATCTTTGAACGACTGCCATTTTTTACTCAGGCGTTCTTTTGAGCTTGAATTTACGGCATTGTAATCTACTAGAGAAGACCTTTAATTTGATGTGCATATCGACCTATGCTTACGTTAAAAGTTTTCTTTCGATTCCTAGGGCTTGTGCCCCCTGAGGAGTAAGCGTATAATAGCAATGCAAATTAAATTAATCTTTGAACCACTGTCATTCTTGGCTCGGTTGTCCGTTTGAGTTCAAATTTGTGGCATTATATTCTGCTAGTAAATACCTTTAATTTGATGTACATGTCAACCTAGGCTTCTATTTAAGATTTCCTTCTGACTCCATGCGGGACGTCCCCATGATGTGACAGAAAATTGATATTTCCTTAAAAAAGTTGATTTTTAGGTGTGGTGTTGGTGTACCAAATCTTATTGATTTATCTGGTGTCGTTTAGAAAATATTAAACCGGTCCGGGACTTTTGGGACAGTCTGTATATAAAACAATATAACCAAATGCACATCTCTACTACTTTTAAAAACGTTATATGATAGACCTGGTTTCTTCGTCGTCACCCTTTCTGTTTCACACGAACATAAACACAATGAGCCGACTGAACTTAAGAACTAAAATTGATTGTGAACCTTGCCAATGTATAGGTCTGTTCGTGCATATTCTTGAATCCACTCGTACTATTACGTGCATGCTACTAACGTACAACGTTTTGATGTGAATCTTCAGAAAACAAGTATTGAGTGGTCTTTATCGAAACATTAAAAAACACACACAGTTTACATTCAAATTGACTTAGTATGCTACAACTTAAAATTTGATAGAATTGTTTATTGATATGTTACGAATCAAAATTGTGGAACAATATGTATTGGTTATTAACTTGTATGTAAAATTGAGTACAATTACTTGTAAAAAATTTCAATTGTAAATTTTGTTAATGGCTTATTTCGCTTCAGGGTCCTCTGCCCAATGTGAAGTACTTATGAAGTAAGTACGGTATCATGATAAGTCTGAAATCTTTTTTTTTAAGGACAGGAGATTTTCCGTACAAATATATAAGCTAAGTAATGTTTGCGCAGGTAGCTTTTTTTTAAGTATATATGTTTTGGGATGTACATTAGAAGTAGTGACTGTTGGTAGCTCTGATTGGATGGGCAGTAATACACAATATCTTATTTTAGCTATGGTTGACTCTATAACCAGGAATGAAGCTATTCAACCCATTATGTACGTCAACTTTTACCTTCTGCACAAACAAATCCATTTTCCATCATGTCCACGATATCACCCCATCCAAAACAGATTCATAATACACTCTTCATACTATTTCCGTCCATTCCCATAACACAAAGGCCAGGCTCCCTTGGTCACATCTTCAACATACCTTTTTAGGATAATAGAAAATCCCTGAAATATTTCACGAAACCATCCCTGACTCCAGACTGACACGTTGTGATGTTTGGTTGCAGCCAAGGTCGACACGTCCCTGGTCACGGTAGAGGACGTGTTCAGCACGAACGTGTTGGCGCTAGAACACGTGGTCAGAGAGCCGGAGACCCAGGTTGGGGGCATCACTGTCATCGTGGACATGACGGGGTTCGGTCTTCAGCAGCACGCCAAGTTCCTGTCGCCTTACTACGCCCGACGCACTGTTGAAGTCATCCAGGTAAATCGTTAAAACAGTAAGTTATGTCCATGGTTCATTTCCCTTAAAATGTGTAAAACACTAATCGTATTCAAACGCACTCAACATTGAAAACAATTTAACCCACAGCAGAGTACGAACAAGGTTTTGGAAATGAAATTACAAGGGTAGTTGACAATATTAAATTACTTCTGGGTAAACAAGTGGTTTTAGCTTTCGCCTTAGAATATTTTGAGTGAATGGGTGTATTCTGGTAATATTTGTCATTGTTAAATCAATTATTGATGAGATCTAAGTAAAGATCAATGCTAGAAAGTAACAAGACAAGACTTGGATCGTGTCCATACAAAAACACATGGAAACATGCCAATGCTGTTAAAACACACAACATAAGTTTAAATAAAATAGCTAAAACATGAAAAATGTATTGCTCAATTAGGTATATTGTTTGTTTTACTACTACACCGACAAAACAGAGGGCTTAATAAATGGTTAGGTTACTGTGTGTAAAATTATTAGGCCTTACTGTAAAGTAGACTGTCCATTCTTATTAAGTTGTGGCCAGTTTTATATAAAAAATAATCAACAGGCTGCTGTTAAATATTATTTTTGTAACTTTTGGCTCATTTCTCGCAGCAAAGCATGTAACTAATGTATTAATAAACGCAAAAGTAATTTATAAATAGATAGTAATATTACAACTGGCATTAATTTCAGAGGAACGATCTAGTTTTAAATCAAACCGTGATACTCAAAGGAACAAAAAGAGCAATCTGGTCGATAGAAGGGAGCCACATCTGGTGACCAACATCAAAATGCAATTAATTAAATTTGCAGTACCTGTAGTCCCTGAGGTTAAGTGATACACTCGATTATAATAATCACTACAGGATAGGATTTTCTATTTAAATCAATGTAGCTGCACAGATATCCAATTATACAGAAAGATTTCAATAATTAATTATTAAAAGTAGTTGTTTCAAATTAATATTGTTCCTTTCACGTATATGATAGGGTTTTAATCATACCTACATTATGAAACTTAATATAGGCATTAGATTTTCATATGACGTTAACTGATAACAAATTTTTGTATACACTTTGTTTTGAAAAATTAAAAATTCTATAATTTTAACAAAGGAATCACGGTAAAAACAAAGCTCAAAAGTAAACACGTTTAGCTGCTTCTAAAGTATTATATTAATTAGTTTTTACAAAGGCATAAGTGGGTTAATAAAGTGGTACACAAAGTTATCTGGGGATGAAGTTTGGAACAAGATTACAATTAGAAATAATAATACATTTATTTGAAATTCCAAATTTAAACAACAATTGAGAAATGTATACTAAATTAAGCATTGTGAAAAAATTATATCTTTAATGTGACCAGAAACTGTTAAGTATAGGACAACCGTTTGGTAAATATTGTGTATTATTATAGCCTATGTAGGTAATAATTTAAATTTCTCATAATTTATATACAATGCTTCAAATAACGGTCGAATTCCCAAGTGGCAGAACAAATCCTTAGGATATTACAGAGGTAAGCTTTTCCAATTGTCTGTCGCAATAAAATAGGACAAGCCCCAAGAAGATAAGCAATAAGCTACAATGCTCGGATTGGGGCCCCATGGGGGTTGTCGCAAATGAATCATCTCGACTGTGGTTATTGTCTAATTACTTAGTGTCTTTGTTTCGGGTATCTTCGTTGTTATACTGGCTATCAATTTGACTGAAAACGTCTGCTTAAATGTATGATTGCATGGACAGTATAATGTTCATATGTCATTATCTATCATCATATGGGTAATAATTAATTGTTATAGAGTTAAAACAGACATTTGGCAATGTGATCAAAGTAATTTCAACATTACAATTTGAAAATGTATGTATATTTAGAAACTTAAGAAGAAACAGTTGTTTAAGGTTAACATTAAATGCATATCTGTACATTTTAATGATACAATATTTGTGTGTAAGATTCATTTTAATCGTAATGGCTCATCTTACATATCATTGTAAAGCTGGGACTATCACAAGTCCATATACTGATATTTTATTTGGGTATAATTCTTAATCTGTTGAAAAACACCACCTGCAATCTACCTATGCAAAATTGAGAAATTTATTTCGAAAGAAAACACACGTGGGTTACTAATCGGTAATTCACAATGGAAAAGTGATTTTGTTCATTTTTTTTGTACCAATAGAATGTGTTCTACCAAGGTGAATAATAATTGTACCTCTATACCTGAACACTCTTAATATTTGAAGAAATCCGTACCTTAACCACATCAAATTGTTTTGTAGGAGACGTTCCCTCTCCGCTTTAAAGGCTTTCACGTAATCAACCAACCGTTCTACTTCGACGCAGTGTTCGCAGTTCTCAGACCATTTCTGAAAGAGAAAATAAGACAAAGGGTAAGCTCACAAAGCAAGATTTATTGCAATAAATAATTTAGAGGTGTAATGGCTAAATATGTATAAGTAAACTTTACTTTCATGCATAGAATGTAGAATGTAGTCCAGAGCATGTTTGAACTAATTATTCAAAATTCTAGTGAATGTAAGATACCTATTTTTTAGTTTCAACCTTTTCACTCCCTAGGAGATGAGGGTTTTTTTAACTGGTAGTCCGACGTCATTGAGCCCGCGGGAGTCTGGCACTATTGAGAGACAATTGATCATCTCAGTTTGCGTAAATGAATTTTTACCTCCTCCCACAAAAAAAAAACCTCCCTACTTATTCATATGTACTGCCGTCTAAAGTATATGCTTTATGGATTAACATTATATTACTGAAATTTAGATTATTTTCTTTGCCTCTACTAGTGTTGAAAGTATTTGGAATATTATTAAAAGGGGTTTAAACTTTGGTGACGTAATAAGGTAGCCTGGTATATTCCAGGTATTCCAGGAAGTTGTTGGCAGGTGTACTTGCCAACTATATTTTAAGAAAAGAACTGTTGATGTAATGTAATCAGAAACATTGTAGGGATACCAACCAACAATACTTAAAGGTATTAAGGTATTAAGGTCCCACATTCTTCATCTTTGATGGTATAGCATTAAAGTAACATGGGAAGTTTTAGATACCCCTGCTAATTATACTTCAACGAAGACGCACGATGCACGAGTTTCTAACTCAATTTGCTAGCTATCTGAAACAATTTGCAGCTTAAAACACTCCCGAAATACCTTAAACTATACTTCAAGGACAGTATGAAATAGTTAATATTCTTCCTTGCATCAAGGAAAATATATGCGCACTCAAATTATCTTTGTTAGTGACGAAAGTAACTTTTTCATTTCATTCCAGATATACCTGCACGGGAAGGACTTGAGTTCTTTACATTCATATGTAGATCAGGCTATCCTTCCCGTGGAGTACGGTGGTCTGCAGAGCGAGTTCGATAACACTCGCTGGAGACAACAGCTTCTGGAGTTGGAGCAGGAGTTCATGGGTAGGAATCGTTAAGGAGTTTATGCATAAAACCCAGTCTTTGGCCTCATGCTACTTTTGATGATAGGATTAGAAAATAAGCTTCAGGGACATACTGAATTGGAAAATAATTAGAGTATTAGTATTGTTTGAGGTAGGGTTGTTAAAGGCCATTATTAAAATTTCAGTGCATGGTTGATACCTAAACATTGGAAAGATGTTAACAGGTTACCGATTAATGAATCTCTAGAGGGTTTGTAGGAATGTGGTTTAGTGGAGGATGCGTAAATTTAGGTTAACTTCAGCCTCCTTTTGTAGCTGGGAAGTCTTAATATACGGGAGAAAAATGTGATTTTCTTCGGTGGCTGGTCACACTAGAAAGTAAACTTATTCTCCATTAAAATTGTTACTGTACTATTAAAAAAAATGTGTTATATAGAATTAAAAAAATAATTATAATCAGAATTATAAAGAAAATCTGGCACGCTATATATACTATCAATCGTCATGCAATGGATGAAGATTAGTGTGTATTCTGGATACATTTGACGTTTCACTAATCACAATGGTGTAGTATTAAACTACTAGCTGTTGTACCCGTGCTTTGCAACGGGAAGAGATCACGAAATAGAAACATTTTGATATTTACATCTGTTGATAAAATAGTTACACATAAGCCTTTTAAAAACATAATTTAACCTTTATGGCCTTTATAGGATAGATGTTGTCATTAATGAAAAAAATAATAGTACTGCACCCTGTTGATAAACCTTGTAACTTTTTAATGCTATTCATCAATATCATAGAACCAACTTGTGTAGTTGAAACAGCTGACAAAATTCTTTTATTCTTTTAAATATGATTACTCATAAGGTTAACATGGGAAACTCCAGAGCCACTGGGGCGGAACCCGATAGGACTTTTGAGATAAGAATGCTATATGTTAATCGGGAATGTGAGCTATCATCATACGAAATTTCAGCCCAATCCGACCAGTATTTTTCGCGTTTATTTGTCACAAACTGTATACATCCATACATCCAAACTTTCTCATTTATAATATTAGTAGGATAGCAAAACGCTTGATTTATATACGATATGCTATATTATTTATACTTTCTGAAACACCAAATAAGTAAAGAATCTTAATTCAATTAGCCACACGCTTGGGTGAAGATAGCTTTAGAGTTGAAATATTTCAATAAGTAGAACAACAGGAGTTGAGCAAAGTTGAAGGGAAGTTAGGAGGACACTTTGGCTCTAGACAAACTTTGCTCACTTGTTAAGAGTTTTCCTGCATCCTGATAACAACGGATGAGTTCCAAGAGAACATCTTCTAGGTTTAAACATGACCTTAACCGAATAAAATACCCATAGTTAAAAGTTCACAAAACAGATAACTCCTTTTTGAGTACATGGTGCTACGTTTCTGGTGGATCAAACCCCAATTTAAGTTGTCTATGGTCCTAATATAGAACGAAATAAATATTACTTCTACACGAATAATATTTAAGTAATTACACAGTAATTACATAAACTATGGTTATGTACTATACTTACCGTCAATTATTACTTACTTTCGTAAGTAATTACATTGTGGATTATCATCCCGATGAGTCTGGTGTATGCATTTACTAACTGCAATACTAAAAAAAACTTTAAAAATGTATGAAAATATACAGTATAATTTTAGGGAAGTATTTAAAAGTCCTTATTAATTTTATTCTATTTGACGATTGAATACATATTTTCCAACATTAATGGCTTACAAAATATTTATAAACGTATTTTTCCAATACATTTTAATATTGTTGAATATATACAACTATTATTTCTTTCTCCCTCTATACTTAGTACTGTGTATGGAGAAAGTATTGTTTTCGTCAAAGTTTTCGGACATTCCTTTTAATTTTTAATCTTATTGGTAATTCTCCCCACACACAAAAAAACGGAAAAATCGTATTTAAAAACGCTCGACCGATTTCGATTTAAAGTCAGTATGTTGTAGTAGTTTTAACTACTACCTACCTTTACCTTTGACAAAAGGTACAAAAGTATACACCATTGTTGTAAAAATCACGGTTCATAAGCTATTGCAACCTTTGTGAACCTTTTGTTAATATCAAAATTATTACTCTTTAATGCTTAGCCATGATCAAGGTTGTTGACAAGCTAACGGGGTACCTGTAACATTGCTAATACAGTTTATTTGCGCTAAAAAGTGTTTGGTCGTACATATCCAAAGCCACTTGCCTAATTTGTGTTTACCTGCCTAAATTTATCAATAACACAAGCTGAAGACTTGTGACGACTTCAAAAATGTATGTTTTAAATATTTGGCTTTGAAACGTCCTTAAGAAGCTTTAGATATAAAAATTTACTCATGGTACTCTCAAGTAGTTTTCAAACAGGTATTTTAGGCCATACACATTCTTGTTTAAGACCTTTTCTACTCTGTTCCTCCCTCTCTACTCTACTGGAGCACCTCTCTGAGCCTGGTGTTATTACTGAGAGGTCCTTCTGTGTGTCTCCATACTCAGTTGTGCCACTGCTAACTTTCGAAGCTAAATTTCCCCGAAAATTAATTTAGAGCCCTTATAAGTAATGTATTTCAATATTTCATCAGCATCAACATTAAATGGAAACTTGAAAATTTTACAAGAATTACATTTTTGTGTTAATCGTTTTATCTAAAAATTCATCTTGGTGTTTTTAAAAAGCACAGTGAAATGTGAGTCAAAATTACAAATTATTGTAAAAACAGTAACCGTTATTCATTATAATGCTTATGTTTAATCATTAGCCTAGCAGAAAACAGGTAGTTGTAGTTTTAAAAGTGTATGATGCCTTTTTAGCTCAATATTTACAACGTCGTTTTTTATGAGTTCAAGTTAGAAGTAGGAGTTGCCATAACGTATAAAAAGGCAATAATTGTGCAATAAGGCAATATTGTGTCTTAGATTGTGTAAAAAAAAAATATGAAAACGGATAGCGTATTTAAATGATTGGTTTGAAATGTAAGCAGAATATAAAGTATTGATTAAGATAACTTACTAAAGGTACTTACTTAAGGTAACTTACTGATTTCACCAAATCGTGACTTTAAAAGGTATGCAGGTTAGTCTAAATCTGTTCTCAAAACAACAAATGATGATTTGTAAACCTAAAAGAAATAAAATTGGTAAAAACTACGTATGAATGAAATTTTGTATTACTAAGAATAAAAATATTGTTTTTAGAACTGGAAACGTTCGGGTACAAGCATCAAGATGAAATAAACGACAAAGAAGAGATTGACCTACTCTAGTAATGTTTGAGGATCTACAAGGCTGCAGATTGTACTGAAACCCATATAAGTTAGCAAACCTGCAGATCCAACTGAGTGTATAAGTATACAAAGATCCCACCAGAATCTATATTCGCAAGAGTCTGAAGGCTTGCAGACTTTACTGTTGTTATGTGATTTATCTTTTAGGTGTTGTTGCTATGACTAAAATATATAATCTGTCCATTCCCGCAACGGGGGTAGTCTATCTTATGTAAATAACTGTTATATTGATGCCGAGTCTCACATTGTTACTTGCCAACGAATTCGCACGCTTTATAGGTTATGTCAATTATACACTTGCTTGGCTTAGGCTTAATGTACATAGGGTTCAGTAGGATTGCAATATTACAAAGTGTTTGCCTATGCTAATAAATCATTTAGTTTGTAAACTTGCTTGTTTTAATATATATTTTTATTTAATTTAATTGTTTTACATCCGTTATATATGAGCTGAAGTACATAAGTAAATTCTTTGTTGGAAAATAAATTACGTAAATAGATTGTGAATTCATTGGTTTTAAGAACATATATTTATATGTGTTATAATTTTCAAACATACCGTAATTAATTTACCTACTTTTATTTTTATCTGAGATAAAACAATTTGTTAGTAAGTTATTATGATTTCAATCTAATTTTTTCAATACAATAGTTGAAAATTAAATTTTGAAATTTATAGCTAAAATAATTTATTTTTGATTATAAAAAAAATTCCTTGTAAACAATTTCAAGTTTAATTATGATAAACGTAAAGAAAAATAACTAAACTAAGTTTTATGCTTAAAACTATGTGGTAGACTTTTACAAAATACTTAATGTGTAGCTGTTTTAGGGGTTTCCAGCTAATAATAAAAACATGATGCTTTACAAACTTGATTTGGAAATATTTTATAAATTTCCCTTTTAATATTTATTTATGCATATAAATCTCTCAGGGTTCTCAAAAAACAACCAAAGTTTGCTGGAAAATATAGAAAGTTACTGACTTATGTGTTAGGTATGAGGAATGGAGTAATCGCAATAAATAACAATTACCATTTAAATAGTAATCAGAAATCAATAAAACAATTACTTTAAATGCCCAAGTGTACTGTGATTCAATCAAAGTAATACGTACTAAAATAAAACATAAAAACACCAAAGCATCATTTAAATAAATACACCCTTCATAAATACAAACTCAACTATAATTTTAATGGCGTGGAAAAAGCTAAAAACTCTTTAACTATAAGCAACTTTATTACATTTTTATGTTAATATGTTAATTATCACTTAAGTAAACAAGAAAAGAAAACTGTACAAGAAAGATGTAATTTTATTCATTACTGTTACTACTGTACAGGAGTTTTCCAAGTGTTCAACTTAGTTTATATGGATGTTTTTGTATAAAGTATTACAATTTAGTAATAGTATCATTTTATACGCACAATATTTTTTATAAAATATGATTGTATAAAAAGTGTTTAGATGAATCGAACGTTTAAATGTGTTGGATTAGTCTATATTATATTTTAAGTTTAAATGTTTAGGCTAATTGTGTTGTATTTTATGTTAAGTTTATGTATTAAGTAAGTTTATTATAATACTGTTATACAAGTTGAATAAATGTGTCTAAAAATATGAAGCCTCTCATTTTATTGACCAAACCCTTTGATATTTAGAGTTATATTAAAACATTTCGTCATCACAATATTCAATATATTGTGTGCATTTAATTGTTTTACTCTGAATTGATGTCAATCGAGTTAACAAAATGTATAATATAACTAGCTGTGTTACGGACGGGGATATTGTAAGTTGAAACCGTCTTATATTCAGTACAGCACTTGGTTTGCATATTGCGTTTGCATTTTTCCAGATATATAGGCAAAACAATTATAGGATTACACATAAACCTCCGCAAATACAATACCTAACAGTTTCAAGCCAAAACAAATGCTTCGCAATTAAATGTCATTCGGACAACCTCACCATTGCACGCTTTACTCCGATTGACATTTTAATTGACAAATGTGCTCTTGTATTTTCCTTGAAACACCTAGAAATAAAGACATCAATGCGTTACCAACAGACGTATGTACAAATATACTTAATTGAATTAGGATATTTGCTACGCTTTAACCAAAGCAAAGTACACATAAAATTAGTATTTTAAATCTTTGTTAGTGGCATAAATCTTTAGTATATAGTATTTACTTATCGTGTAGTTGATAAAGCCGTCTGTAATAACAAATTATATAGGCTTGATTTGAAGATGGCCTGAAATATAAACAGTAAATGGGTACTATACTTTGTTCAGTATAATATAAGGTTATAGTAAAAAAACTTGTCACATGAGTCATTGTCAGACCCAATGGGTGATTGTAACATGTTTTAAACACATTCACAATGCTGTACAAGTTTACAGTATGAAATCAAATATACCATATAGTGACAGGAGACTTACTATAAAAATTATCCGTAAAAGTAACATATACACTTAAACACTATTCAAAATTTGATTTGATAATTTGTTAAAAATAATGTCAGTATATAGGTTGGATCTTCAAAATTCAGTCTTTTCACATGTAGGAGACAAAATTAAAGCCAATTTAGTGTTTTTTTACAAGCCTTATTAATCTTTCTATATTTTATTTATTTTCATTTTATTTTTGTTAATTAGTTAACGTAAAAGAACTCTGATTGAAGCAACCTGTATTCTAATCGAATTATTTGGCACTTAATCTTATTGAATATCAGTTTACCTAAGTTTTAGTATTACCATATTTAAAAGAAACAAATTCATCGACAGAAAGCAATCCTGAGATAATTTATTAGGTTGGATTATTTGTTATGAGAAAAAATTACCCCATTAAAAATATTGTTAGCCTTAAAAGCTGCGCTAAAATAATATAATTCAAATTTCACCAGTTTTGTTAGAGTTATTGTTCTAAACCCTTCTCCAATTTAGGAATCAACAACAAAAAACTGCAACCTAAATGTGTTTGAATAAATATTGTACCCTAGCAGTGTATGTGCACACTCATTTTCATTTTTCAGCCAAAGAGACTTAAATTAGGATAATACAGTCAACACTAACTTTACTCATCAAGTAAAATACATAAAGCTACACTAATAACTTGTTGTTAACAATAGTACATAAGAAAAGAATGAATAAAATAAACCAACTTAATAAAAAAAAATATACAAAATCATGTACTTTGTTGTAAGTTTTCTTTTTTTAATAGAAAAGTTTGGTTAGAGTTTTGATGTGTAACTCAAAGTGTTAATATTGTAAATAAAATTCAAATGTTGAGGTTTGTATGTAGGGAAATAATAATTAACATTGAAAAGATGCTTCAAAAGATTGATTGCCTGCATACTTTTCTTGGCTACACGTTTTACACGTATGTACAGCGCACCATTGACTGGCACAATCAGGCTGTTAGATGAAAAAGATACATTAAAAGCATATCATTTTCTTGGGTTTGCCTAGTATAATTCAACAATAATCCATGAAGATTATTTTGAATTCCATTTAAATTCGTCCTATATAAAATTCATCTCATGTTTACCTGGTATCAAGAAGTATGCATTGTCCTCTTGATAACATCGGGGACATGGTTTCAAAGGCTTTAAAATATGAAATATTAAACTAAATTCGGGGGTTGAATTTTGTAGATTCTATTTAAAATGTAAATTCCACAACATACTACTATTTAAAAAATAAAAAATAAAACAATTTAAAAGTTCCTAAATTACTCCTAATATCATAACAGAAACAGGATATTAAAAGGAATTAAGGACAATAAACCATTCTTAACAGTTGCAAACTATAAGAAGCAAATCTAAAATTTTGTCAAATAACTTAGTCAAAAGAATAAAATAAATAAGGTAATATGAAATTATACTAAAAGAAAAGTTTCGTCGAGATATTCAAGAGATGGTGCTTGGTGCTCCGAGAGCAAGCACAGATTTGAGCTCGAACGAAGATAACTCAATTTCCGTCAACGTCGCTATTTCAAGTGACATTGATTTAAGGAAAAATTAGTTTTACTACTTGACCCAGTAAACAGCAAACTCTGGAGGATAACTTTGTCACCATAATAAAAAGGCCTGTCAAAATTTCACTTCTACCTTTATTATTTTAAGATAAGTTTATGAACAGTTGGTTTTAACAGTTCTATAATTCAATGAAATGAAAAGACATATTACAGTATTCATAAAAATAAATAGGTACCATGCAAAAATACAATAAACAATTAAACTCCATGATTCATTGTGTAAAAAATTACATCTCATTGTCAAACATTACAGCAATTGAAAATACCACAAATTTAAAATGACAAATAAAAAATATTGAACTATGCACAAAACGTTACTAAGAATATTTAAGAATATTTATCAAGGACGTGTCCTAAAATAGTTACAAAATCAAATATAAAAAAAAAATTATACGAAAATAATAGGCTAGTAATTAATAGGCTAATTGTATTACTTACCTTTTAACTATATACGGCACCCAGAGGATTAGGCTTACACGGATTTTGCATAACGTAAAAACAAGATGAAATTCTCGCGTAACAAATTCTCATCACCCGGCTAACTCAATTTTCTACTGGATCGTTTTGTGAAGTGACGGGGTATAAATACTGGGAAAGTTCACCCCTTATTTTTCACACTGTAGCTATTGCATGTATACAATTCTATGTTGTCTTAATGTTTTATCGACGTAAACCACCAATCTTGATCTTTGTCTAAAAAAAACTACTTCAGGTAGTTTCTTTAATATTTATATATTTTAAATAACTATTTACGTGTTTTCCAAATTCAACATTTGTGACATTCTCAATTGTTCAAGCCTTCACATTTAATTATTAAATTTAGTTGTTTCTTCAAGTGACATTAGCCTTTTTTATTGTGTCTTTTATATTGGTTTGAGTTTACGTTTATTTGTTGATATTCTAAATTGATTATGAATAAACTTATTGTAGGACGTGGGTGCTGCTGATTTAGTGATTTTAGGGTAAAACCTTTCTAATGGGTTATACTATCGCCTAAGCAATTATGCCGAGACACAGTGGTTCGGAGTTCTACCTAACCGTTTGTATAAATAAAAAAAAAACGTGAATTTCAAAATCAACCTAATTTTATCTCAACGAACAATTAGCTCAGTTCGGTGTATAAAGGGGAAGTGGGACGCTTAGGACAGTGAGTAATCAGTAATTCAATGAGACGCTTGGTACAATGTTTAGGAAGTAAGACAGTAGGATGCTCAGTAAGGCAAGTAATTGGTAAGACAATTGAGTGCTTGGTACAATGTGTAGGAAGTAAGACAGTAGGATGCTCAGTAAGGCAAGTAATTGGTAAGACAATTGAGTGCTTGGTACAATGTTTAGGAAGTAAGACAGTAGGATGCTCAGTAAGGCAAGTAATTGGTAAGACAATTGAGTGCTTGGTACAATGTGTAGGAAGTAAGACAGTAGGATGCTCAGTAAGGCAAGTAATTGGTAAGACAATTGAGTGCTTGGTACAATGTGTAGGAATTAAGACACTAGGATGCTCAGTACAGTGAGTAATCATTAGGTCAATGAGGTGCTGTGTAGAATGTTCAAGAAGTAATACGCTCAGTATGGTGTGTAAAGGGCAAGTGGGATGCTCACTACAGTGAGTAATCAGTTAGCGTATGAGGTGTTTTGTAGAATGTTCAAGATGTAGAGACTAAGTCATTTAATGATGTACGAGGGTCGAGGGCGCGGGAGATTCGCTCACTAAAGTGTGTAAAAGGTAAGTCAGTCAGTAGTGAGTGACGTGAATGTGGTGGGCTTGGGTAGGACGCTCACTACAGCGTGTAGAGAGTACGTCAGACAGTAGTGAGTGACGTGAGTGTGGTGGGCTTGGGTAGGACGCTCACTACAGCGTGTAGATAGTACGTCAGTCGGTAGTGAGTGATGTGAGTTTGGTGGGTGCGGTAGGGACGCCCACTACAGTGTGTAGAGAGTAAGTCAGTGAGGGATGTCAGTGTAGGGGGCGTGGGTGGGACCTTCACTACAGTGCGTATAGAGTAAGTCAGTCAGTAGTGAGTGACATGATTGTGACGGGCGCGGTAGGGACGCTCTCTACAGTGTGTAAAAAGTAAGTCAGTCAGTAGTGAGTGTTGTGCGTTTAGAAGGCGTGGTAGGGACCCTCACAACAGTGTGTAGAGAGTAAGTAAGTCAGTCAGTAGTGAGCGATGTGAGTGTGGCGGGTGCGGTAGGGACGCTCTCTACAGTGTGTAAAAAGTAAGTCAGTCAGTAGTGAGTGTTGTGCGTGTAGAAGGCGTGGTAGGGACCCTCACTACAGTGTGTAGAGAGTATGTCAGTCAGTAGTGAGTGATGTGAGTGTGGCGGGTGCGGTAGGGACACTCGCACTACAGTGTTTCAAGAATAAGTCAGTCAGTAGTGAGTGATGTGAGTGTGGAGGGCGCGGGTGGGATCCTCACTACAGTGTGTACTGTAGAGAGTAAGTCAGTCAGTAGTGAGTGATGTGAGTGTAGCGGGCGCGGGTGGGACGCTCAGTTCCCTGTGCGCTGGCGCTACGCTATCGACCAGTCGCCAGGTCTGTCTCAGTAGCGGGATGGAGCGGGCCGACGTCTCCGGCTCCGGCTTCGCGGACCCCTCGCTCGAGCACCTGTACCAGTCCTATAGCGTGAAGCAGAAACGACCCGCGCTCCAGTGCTTCCTGTTGGCCGCGATCCTCTACGACGCCTACTGGCTGGTCGTGCCGCAGAGTCAGGACCTCGCCTCGCGAGGTGTCACTCTCGTCTTCCTGCTGCTCAACGTCGGACTCCTCGCGTGGTGTCGCTGGTCGTTGTCCCGGCTGTGGTCGGCTCTCCCCCACCTAGCCTGGCACCTCGCCAATCTCCAGATCCTTGTGCATCTGTTCCTGCAGAAGAACGAGGTTACCGGACGCACCAGTCTAGGATGGGTGCTCTTGTTGGATTACCTCCTGTTCGTCTCGTTGCCCCTGAGGCTTCGCTATTGTGTGATGCTGTCTCTTGGCACTTGCTCTTCATACCTGGTGGCAGTGGAGGGATTGGCATTACGGTCGGACATCCACCTGATACATCAGGTATGCCCATTTATACTTGGTCTACTATGAACTAGAATGCTGCTTGCTTGAATATCAATACGTATTTTCTCAAATTAAGACTTAATACAACTCGTGATTGACTTTAAGTTTCTATAACTCTATTAACTTAAAAATAACAAATAACTAAAAGTGAAACTCCAAACAGAATTATTCCAAAGTTGAGTGGAGTACCAGAAGATAAGTCTATAAAGGACCACATGATACCGTATGATGAGATCTTGCTCTTATCAAAAACAGGGGGCATGCATTTAGTGTGTTCACTGTTCAATAATTTAAATGGAATAAACTGAAGGCATAGTAAACCTTTCACCTATAGCTTAGCTTCTTTAAATATCTTGACGAAAGTTAAGAATTGCAAAATACGAGTTAAAATATTGGACTACCAAACTCACTAAAAGAGAAGAAATGGCAATTTTTTCACTCAATTAAAATTGAAAACCTCAATTACCTTTTAAGGTAGACGCCATTTAAGGGTTGCATTACAACTCCATCCATCTTGGTTTGCTGAAACATTCAATTAGAATGACAAAGATGTCAATGCTTATTCCCGCGATTTTTGCCTTCGACCAACAGTGAACTAATTGGCTTAACAGAATCTAATGACTTTCCCGCCGACGAGGTACAGGACTCGTAAATAAACCAGGTGATCGATGTGTTCCACTTCCGATCAGCTGTTTCGGTGGTTCTAGCTGGGTCTTGGTGGTCTGGTCCAAAGTTCAACAGTCAGCAATTAAAGTTTGGAAAATATATATTACTGTAATAAATTTAACTACGTAGAGTTGATTATTAGGGTTTTAGATTCCTTGAGAACGAAAATAATCCAAGAACAGTTATTACATCCTAAACTCACCTAAAAACCGCTATCAAGTTGCAATATTGCTTGCCTTAAAATCTTAAGTTTACTGCTCCGATCCAAAGAGGTGTCAATTTTGGATCCAAGTCCATTATTGGCACTGAATTATCAATCAGTGAAGCTATCTAACAAAATTCTGACGTAAGGTAGTGATAAGAACAGAGTTTGTTTCGTCCCTTTAAAATAAAATAAATATAGTCAATGTCGTTTAACATATAAATATAACATAATTCAATTAAAACCACAAAAAGCAGGAGAACTTGTGTATTTCGTCAATACAAAGTGATGAAATTTTCACTCTTTAGTTAATTAGTTAATGAAATAAACATATCTAATACATTTAATCGATTTACAATCCACTCCATTAAGAACAGACAAACGGGGACCACATAAATACTGAACCTAATTAATTGGTCAGCCACATAAACTGGGGATCCAATTAGAAAAGCCTCGTAACGATGTGAACATACGATGTCTCTTGTGTTCGTAGAATTAACCTTGCAGCATCAGTTTATGGATTGATTGTTACCATAAATCATATTCATGGATCATATTGGTAGCATTGACATAAATGGATTGTATGTAATACAGAATAATAAATAAACCAGCAACTTTCGAAATTAAGAAAATATTATGACAAACAAGGATTTCATGAAGATAACCTAAAATATAGGTAATGTTCGAATTAGGAAATGAAAATATGCCTTTAATAAACCCGTTCTTGATAGAAATGTATTGTTACCTATCTGAATTATTATAGTATTCATCATATTTTGTATTAGTTTAAGTCCTTTGTCTACGATTTACTTATGTTGACAATTTCTATATAAATAGTAAGAAGTTGTCTATTAACAAATTGAATTTACACATTTTTCATTTCTGTTCACTTTCAATATTCACTTTTGTAAATATTGAGTTTATTCCATTATAAAACCTTAAATTTTTGTTAGGTAATTATTATAACTAATTCACTTAAAAATATCTCTTGGAACAAAAGTGGCCAAGCAGACAGTGGGAATTATATTTGTGTGTAAAGTGCTTTTTAAGTAAAAAAGAGAGCAATTCAAATTCTGCACAATAATAGCAAGCTTAAGCACAAATTTGTGATTCTCTGTGTCCTTAACCCTAAATTATGAAGTAGGACTACATCAGTATGTAAACAAACAATTTCTCTAAACTATTAAGCAGAGCTGATTTGGCTAGGCTATTTAACTAGCTAAACAAACAATGATACTTTAGTTCAATACTAAATTTTAGAACTTTCAGCATACTTTTAGAATTTAATTTACTCATTACAAAGAAAAAAACAAACAAATCATATTTAGCTTTCATCAAAGTTCAATTAAACTCCGATGTGTCTGCTCTGGGAGTGTATGGCAGATTAAAACAAACGCACACAAAGCATCTTTTCTAATTTTCTTAATTCACTACCAAAATCAATCATAGATATAAAATGACTTCATCTATAAATGTCAAACGAATTAGTTTTAAATGAATTCCGAATCAACATATATTAGTATGTAAATATAATGTTGTTTATTCACTAATGTGCTGGTTAGGAAACATTGAAAAAAGTGTTTACTTTTTCCGAATGACCTTATTTAAATTATTACGTATTTCTAGAATATCAAGGAATTGGAGAAGAATCATATTACAAATCAAACTTTGTACATTACAACCAAGTCGTAGGAATCTACTTTATTTTGAAATAAATTTAAATTTTGATTGGAAAAATTTTAATGATATAAAAGGATGATCCATATCTTGTAAAGTTTTTAAAATTGTTTAGTTCCACTGAACCAACTTGAACTAAAAATAAAAAAATTATCTTTTTAAAGATTATTGATTTTAATGCTCTTCCGAACATCCCGAATAGAGGAAACTAGTATCCACCGTAGAAAGAGATAGCCATTTTTTTTTTAATTTTCAGAGCATTATTGAGGAATGCCAAATTAACAGCTTTCACGATACATTTTTAGCTTCCACAGTTTTCAATCGTCAAAGGTTATTTTATAACTTAAACACCTCGACTTCTCACATCCAAATGCCCATGAAGGTTGACAAATTGGCGTAGAACCTCTTAATTATGCTGTTTACAGCTTTTCAACAAACTGAAGATAAACAGAACTAACGAAGTAGAGTAATTGTCGCCAACGTTGACAATGACTTCTCATATGTCTAAGTCAACCTGCAGGTTATCAGTTGAGGTGCGCGTTATCAGAAGGTCATGACCTTGACTTGTCTGCGGTGATAAGCGTTACGCAAGAATGTTGCGTTCTCCTTGCAGCAGGTGAGGCAAGTGATATGAAGGTCTTCCATCTTCAGCTGTCGGCATTTGCTAGTTTACGCGCCAACAAGCCAAATGCCCCATTTCAACACCCCGCTCCAAATTCTTCTTCACCTAATTGCATTTTCTCATGACTGTCAAAATAATGGATTTTATTAAAATGATAGATTAATTTTGAACCTAATGTTTGTTATGGATTATTTTGAGTGTCTGTATTATTTTGGTGAAGGTGTTTAGGTAACAGTTTACTAAATTATTCTGAGGAATGATACATGTTTTTATTATTTTATTACAGGCTTGCTACATTTTAGTTATGTCGCTATTAAAATTTTGTCCTCGCATTAAAATATGAATTTATCTGGTTTGATTACAAGAGGAGTCAATTCCAAATCCAGATGCCACTTGTTACAGGGTTATAAATTAATAGGTACTGCAGTACTGCTATCTAACAAATGGTTGATAGTAGCATAGATAAAACTTACTATGTTAGATAGTAAAAAGTCCAGGGTTTCGACTAGGCTCTTATGAAAACATAGATAAATTTGTATACAATTACAATATAAAAAATCCTTCAAAACCCTTTTTTCGTGATTGCTACTCAAAAACATCACATTTTATTGGGTTTATTTGCAACCACAAGGTACTAACTTTAAAAGTTTTATAACGCAACAGGTAATTTTTTTCAGCTATTCGGGGTTCATAAAATAAACAAACAGAAACTAAATGTGTTTTTTAACTTTTTCGATTTTGAAAAATTAATTATATTTTACTCATTTTCTGAATGGTTTCTCATATTTCATTCAAATCAAAAATCAAATCAAAATATACTTTATTTCCAAAAATATTGCAGAATACAAATTATAACATAACTTCCAGTGAAACAGATTGCTATTGCATAGATAAAAATAATTAAATATAAAAATACATGTAAACTTAATAATAACAACAAAGGATGTAAGGTCTCAGAGAAGCTATGTTGACATATACATTAAGGAAATAAGCCTACATGGGCTGGAAGCCTGTGCGTAGGCTCAGTCGCTATCAGTGACTTACGTATTTGTTGGAAAACAAAAATATTCATAAATATTAAGAAAATCTTAAAAAACAAATAATTTAATATAATCGTAAAACTATTCTGAGTCTAAATTAGTGAATGAGCAATTTGAGGAATTGCATTACATTGTTTGGTAAGTGTCTCATCTATGTTGTTACAGGCAAGCATTTGTTTAATTTTGCAGGGTATTGTAAAACATAGTTCACGTTTTTCAAGTTAATCTTTTCCTAATCTTTTGACAGTTTACTGACTACAAGTCATTCATGTACATAATAATTAATTGTACATTAACATTTATGATATAAACCTGAAAAGTGATTAAACCTCATCAACCCCCCAATAATATGTTCCATAGACACACTACACTCACTAACAAAACCAATATCAACCAGTAAAATCTACTATAGCCCCTGAACTGTACAATATGACTAATATGCATCGTCTCAAATTTCCTTTACGTAATCAATCACGATACTGGATGCACTATTGTAGCATCATCAGATGACTAAGTGCAAAAATTCATCGTGTGTGGTAGGCCTACACGGTGTTAAAGGTGTTGAATGTTTGTAGCTGAATTGTGTTCTTTCAATATAACTGCCGGACTCAAATTGGGCGAGTAAATGTTTACCAACAGTCTATGATACTAAAATAATGCAACAAACATGTCACAAACGATCACACAATGAAAATACGAGACAAGGTTAACAAGCCTATATTAATCTACCAAATACTTTTTGCTTCAGTATTCCACCGTGCATTTCTAATAAATCATAAATATTCTTAGG